CAGGCAGGCTGTAGCACAGGTAGGACTTCAGGGAGGGGCTGGTACCCTCAGCTCCTCTTTGCTAGCTACCTCCTTCCGACATCACTTTGAGTGCAATAGACATTTATCAGATGGATGGATTTTCCTGAGAATGGGCTTGCTATAAAAGCCAGCTTGGCTTCGTCTCTCACCACATGATGCCCTGTGCCACCTTGACTCTGCCTGCAAGAAGCCATCACCAGATGCAGCCCTGCAAACTCGGGCCAGAGTTGTGAGCAACAATAAACCTCTTTTCTTTATAACTTTCCCCTACCTGGTATTATGTTACTAGCAAAGAAAACAGACTAAGATTTCAGACAAAAGAGGAGATAAGATGGGTACAAACATTACCCTGAACTCATCAGTGTTCAAAGCCAGCAACAATGATGCTTAAATTTTTGGAGTTAATAGAAGTTCAACAGGACAATGCTGCAACAGTCTACTTCGGACTCCTTCCTTTAATGAGCGTCTTGCCCTACTTGAATCATCCTCATGACTGTAATGAGTCTCACAGGCTTAGCTGATTCCTCCAAAGTTACAATATACAGGCTGCTGTGGCTGGGGACCCATATGCCAGTCAGGGAGGATGAAGCTCTATGGAAGAAGATTCTGAACTTACTTTCACTTTGCTAAAGCTGAAAGCAGCAACAGGAAATGAATTTTCAACCAGTTGTCATTTTGCACTTGTCTCTAGATTCTAGAGTTCAGGTTCTATGGCTTCTGGATTGAAATGGAAAGTCATCTTCAGTAACTGACCTTTAAGCTGCTGCTAATTAAGAGCATAGCTTAGCACCAATAGCTCTCCACAATAGTTAACTTCATCTACGCTGCATTCTAATCCAGTTTATCAGAATCATTCTTTTTCTTTCTAAATATTTCTTAGGTCATATCTTACGGAAGAATGAGTCAAGAATACTCAAAGTCATCTCACTTCTAATGCCAATTTACTGAAACCATTCAATGGCTAAAGAAGTCAAGAGACTCCAAACAGCAATGCTTACACATCTGTAACACATTGTAGAAAGAGGAGGCAAGATAACAAAAATGTTGAATTAAGGGAATGGTTCACTGGAAAGAGCTGTTTCCCAGCAAGAGGTCTGGAAAAAGCCCAGGAAAACTTCTTTCTCTTTTCCATAAAAGTCATGGGCATCAGTATGTCATCTCTTAGATCAGGAACCATCAACATACGCATGGGCTACTTTGGAACTAGGGAGCTCACAGAAGAGTCTCAGCTGGTTTTTATATATTGTGATGGTTATGGGTGCATATTTCTGCTATAAAATCATCCTTGGACCCTCTGTGGTGTTAAATCATCAATCTCATTCTAATTAATATTCTGGCAAATTGGTAAGAACCATCTGAAAACTCCTGAGATCCATGGTTACAAAAGCAACATTATAAGTCATGCTTCAGGTCTTTACCAGAGGTTAGCTTCATGACGGAATTTAGCAATAAAGCTCAGGCTAATTCCAGAACTGTTAGAAATGAATCCTCATACAGCATGTTATAGAATTATCTTATTCCTAGTTTACTATTATGGGGTTTGGGATGTACGGAATTATTTTATTACATGCAAAATGATTACATGCACTACCAGATCTACTTGATGATACTTCATGAAGAATTTTCTTTTTCCATTTTTGTTAATTAGTGAAATTGGCCTAACCTCTTTTCTCACATATGTGTCTGATTTTGGTACCATATTTATCCAAGTGTCTTTGGAGGAACTGGTGAGTATCATCTATTCTTTTATTCTCTGGAAGAGTTTTTCTCGACAGTGTGTTGGTTAATTTTAAATGTCAACATGACTAGGCTAAGCGCTGCTGAGATAGGTGGTAAAACATTATTGCTGGGTACATGTGTGAGAATGATTCTAGAAGAGACTAACATTCTATTCATTAACAGCGTAAAATGAATGATGCTGAGTAGATCCAAAAAGTGGAAGGAGGGCAAATTCACTCTTTTTGGTTGAGCAGGCACATTGGTCTTTAGCCCTAGGATACAGGCAGTCCCTTTTCCTGGGCTTTGGAACGCAGACTGGAATGTACACCATCAATACCACTTCTTAGCGCTTTGGACTGACTGAATCACAATACCAGCTTTCCCTCTTCTCCAGCAGATCACAGATTCTTGTCTTTTCTAGCTGTGTGATCCATTTTCCATAAACCTCCTCTTATTGTTTACTTTCCCCAACGTCCCTCATGAGTAAAAACACATATTTATATACATTTATCTCTTTAAGGAATATGTCTGACAATATGCTTAATGGTTAATTCTTAAGGTTTTAACTCTTGATTTGGGTATGTGTCTATGCTTTAGGCTTTTAAATTTCATATGCATTTTCATAAAGTTGCTCCTTTTTTGCGACTTATTTACTTCAAAGAGTTACAGAGACAGAAGGGGAGCAACAGAGGGGGGAAAAGTGGGAGGGAGGGAGGGAGAGAGGGAAAGAGGGAGGGAGGAAGAGAGAGAGACAATCTTCCATCCCATTGGTTCACTCCCTAGATGGCCACCAGGGCAAAGCCAGGAACCTGAAGCTCCACCCAGATCTCCCACAAGGGTGGCAGAAGCCATCCTCTGCTGCTTTTCCCAGGCCATTAGCAGGGAGCTGGATTGGAAGTGGGGCAGCAGGGACACCAACCAGCGCCCCTAGGGGATGCCAGCATTGCAGGCGGTGGCTGTACCCTCTAACCAAAATGCTGGCCCCATTCTTTATCTTTTTAACCTCTGCAGGCTATACTTGTGTCCTTCTTTGGTTCATAGTATTAGTGTAATTAGTATAAGTGGAGAAACAACAATGGCACCCTCTAACAAATCACTAATCCCTTCAATGATGGCACCACTCTCATAATCACCCCTAAAAGCCCCGCCTCTTAATACTATCATACTGGCCATTCAGTTGCAACTTGTCAATGGTGGGGGGAAAGGCTTAAAGCACAGCAGTATGTATGCAAGATATATACCTGTATAATAACATAGTTCATCTGAAGTTTTGTTTTGTTTTTTTTAGAAAATACTTATCACAATTATGGACCCTTTTGTCAAGGAAATTCATCACTACATGAGGACAGGACAAGCAGGAAAATCTTAAACATCTTTCATTAATTGGACATGTTATCCTATATTATAACATGAATTCACTGACTCCAAGTTCTAGAATGCACAAATTTAGCCTGCCTGCTGTATAAAAGTCTCTTATAAAGTATGTTCCTTTGTTTTGATCATATTTGGACTAATGCATTTTAATGTATAAAATATTTATACATTTTACATTTTTATACTGTCTTCCAAATCCGGTATTTTACATATTATACATCTCATTAAAGATTTCAAGTTCATTAGCCATACTCAAATCAATATTTAGGCCGGCACCATGGCTCACTAGGCTAATCCTCTGCCTGTGGCGCAGGCACTCCGGGTTCTGGTCCCGGTTGGGGTGCCGGATTCTCTCCTGGTTGCTCCTCTTCCAGTCCAGCTCTCTGCTGTGGCCCAGGAAGGCAGTGGAGGATGGCCCAAGTGCTTGGGCCCTGCACCCGCATTGGGAGACCAGGAGGAAGCACCTGGCTCCTGGCTTCGGACCGGTGCAGCACACCACCCATAGTGGCCATTTGCGGGGTGAACCAACGGAAGGAAGACCTTTTTCTCTGTCTCTCTCTCTAACTCTGTCAAAAAAAATCAATATTTAGATTTCATAACATTTAATTTAAAGAGTCAATTCCTGCATCTGGGCTGTTTGAACACTTTTGAAAAAATGTCCCAAATGTCAATTCTTAAGCTTACCAAAATTAAATATGCAATTCTGCTGTCTTAGTACCTACATTTTAAGAGCACAAGAGCTCCTTGTCTACAGGCTACACTCTCAGAAACCGCAGGTCTAGGTCAAGAGTGGTTTTTGTTATTAACGCATACTAATTTAAGCTGTAATGCAAATTTTAACTTTTTCTTTTGCATACAGCGGGAGACAGAACTGTGAAAGAGAAGAATGAAGGGGAAAAAAATTGAAGTTGGGTCATTCGCAGACCTTACCAAGAAACTTAGGAAACCCTGTGCATTAGAGGATGCTAAGCCTATGGCATTAAATATAAGGCTGTCCTACCATGGCTGGTATCACATTCCCTTAACAGCTCCATTATTTCTCAATCTACTTTTAAATCTGGAACCTATGAATCTGTGGAGGGCTGCACTGGATACCACATCGTAGGGCACGAAAGTTCTCTCAGTCTGTCAAGCGATCTTTTAGTCAGAAACAGCATTGCTGGGATTTCCGCCTGCTGGAACGCCGAACCTCAGGAGAACCGGCTGACATCATAATCCCTGTTTTTCTTATATGTTTTTCAAGAATTGGCTTAATCTAAATCCTCTGGTACTTGATGTCCCATAAAATCTCCATCTGGCTCAGATGCAGCGCCTGCTGCAGGAACCGCCGTAAAAAGTGCAAATCCTTGTAGTGTAGACAAAAGTAGCCACAGATTGTAGATCAACTAATATCTCCTCAGGTGATCACAGAGGGAAAAATAAATAAATACCACCCTCCCCCCCATTGCTACCACTGTCTCAGGTCTCAAGAGGAAATTGTTAGAGAACTCCTTCAGTTGGCAAAAGTCCATAGAAACGGCTTAAGAAAGATGTCCCCCATTTTAGAACAGGGTCAAAGAAGTCCAAAGACGGTTCTGGAGACAGACTCAGGCTCCACAGCCCCTGACCCATCAGAACCACCCTAGGCTGAGGCGCGCTCACGGCACGGGAGCAGCACGCACAGAACCCGGCAAAAGACATGCATCGGCAGAGCCGACCTAACCTCCAGCGCCAAGCCAGCGGGTCCTCACTCTTCCCAAAACCCTCCCCTGACCAAAGCAGGACCGCCAGCACGCCCCTACTAGAAAGCCCCCCACGCGGGCTCCCAGTTCCCACGCTGCGCGACGCCTGAGGACGCGAATGCGCACGCGCAGCACTGCCGCGCATGCGTCGCGGCCGCGCGCATGCTCAGATTCCAAGGCCGGCGGGGTCCTGGGAGGGTAGCGGAGGCCGGCTTGCCCCGTCCCCGCCCTCCGCGCTCGGGGCGGCCTCGCTTCCCTTTCCGGACCGGCGGCCGGCGGGCGTTGGTGCTTCCTCGCCCTTCGCGGAGTCGGCTCCTGCAGTTCTGCGTGGTGAGCATGGCCGCTCGGAGAAGCCGGGCCGCCATCAGGCTGTGCGCCACAGGTAATGGGCGCGCGGAGGCGATGCCCGTGCGGGGACCAGGGGCGCCAGCGCGGGGCGAGCGGGCTCTGCGTCCCGGCCTCCTCCTCCTTGCGGGTCCTCCCGCGGCTGCCCCCCCGGGACCCGGCCGAGCGGACATCGGGAGTTTGTGGGCGACCTGGCTGTGCGGGAGCCCGGGGCCGGGCGTGGGGACGCCTTTCCCTGTCGAGGAAGGAGGTGTCCGGGGCGCCGAGCCCAGGGTCGGGCTGGAGGGGTCGCGGCGGCCCTCCCAGCCTCTGCCGCGGGCCTGGGGCGTCCCGCTTCTCAGGGGGCTTTGCGCTGCACCTGCTCCGAGCCCGCCGCGGCCAGGCGCGGCTTCCTGAGGAGTCCTGGCCGTGCGGCTCGTGGTTGGGTTCCTGCTGGAGAGATGATGGCTGCCAGCGAACAGAGGCGGGGGAGCCGTGTAGTCTGTTCCCCCCGGAGGCGCAGCGGTGCAGAGGGACCAAGGCAGTGGCCGTGCGGAGAAGCAGGGACTGGAGCGGGGGAGCCGTGTAGTCTGTTCCCCCCGGGGCGCAGCGGTGCAGAGGGACCATGGCAGTGGCCGGGCGGAGAAGCAGGGACTGGACGCATTGAGGTTTGCAGGCCCGAGGCGACCGAGCTCGCCAGTCACGAGGCTGCGCGCAGAACAGCCTTCAGGTGGATGAGGGGCTCGTGCGTCCGCCACCTGTGTCCTGGTGCTTCGTGGGTCGGTAAACACGCAGCAGAAGCCAAGTGGCAAGTCGACATTTATTCCCATTTTGTTTTCCGTTTCTTGTCTTCCAGTCGTTTTACTTGATGTGGCTTTCTGTAAAGGATTTGTGGAAGATTTAGATGAATCGTGAGTATATATACGTATATTTTTAAGTATCATTTTAACTTTGACGCATGTTTTTAGAATATATACATGTGAACGTCGTCTTAATAGTAGAGACAGTAGTGACCAGTGCTTTTTTAAAAAAGATTATTACACAGCAAGTTTGTTTGTTTGTTTTAAGATTTGTTTATTTGAAAGGCAGAATTACAGAGGGAGGGAGAGAGAGATTTTCCATCCGCTGATTCACTCCCCAAATGGCCACAATGAACAGGGCTGGACTGATCAAAAGCCAGTAGCCAGGAGCTTCCTCTGGGTGGCCCTGGTGGGTGCAGGGGCCCAAGCATTTGGGCCGCCTTCTACTGCTTTCCTAGTCACATTAGCAGGGTACTGGATCAGAAGTGGACACGAACCTGCCACGCACATGGGAGAAGGGGTGGCAGCTCTACCTGCTATGCCACAGTGCCAGCCCCCAACCAGTGCTTTTATATTACTAGTTTTGTCTTAGAAGTTGTTGTAAGTACTGTACGAGTATGTACAAAAGGAAGGTGTGCTCCAGAATTTTACTAATAGTTACAGGATTAAACTGTTCCGTATTCCGTTCTATCATTTTACCTTGTTTTTGCTTTAAACATAAGGTCGCCATACTGTATGTATTTTCATAGTATCACAGCACTAATGGCAAATACTTTCCTGAGGTAGGTGAGAAGCTCAGCTCCAGACCAGAACCCTGTGTGCCATCCTTCAGGGGTGACTGGGCAATTACTGTGCTTTCTCTGGCAGGCCCATGGGGGAAGGTGCCTCCTACACCCAGTTTGGTGCACAGCTAGTGCTTACTGTCTCTGCAGGGAGTGATATTCAAGGACCAAGTACCGAGGCCCCAGGCCAGCCGTGGTCTCAGGCACCCCTAGCCCAGTTGGCTTTATTTGGAGACTTCCTTACTGGGGTCCTCACCAGAAGCATTGGCCAGGCACTTCGCCAGAACTTCCTTTTCGAAAGCCTCAGCAGAGGCCTTTTTCTGCGGGTCCATTTCCTGTCACCTCGCCGCAAATAAGCAGAACTCTAGTTCTTGCTCCTTAGAAGTGAGATAATTCCTCTCTGCTAGATCCACCTAATTCTTACCTGGTGCTGCTCTTTGATGGGGCGGGCGCCAGGGAGCTGGTGTATCTGTCTCTTAACTAACACTACCAGAGAGTGAATCAAGATTTGATCATTACTTTCAGCTGAGCTCCTTGTCCTAGTTGACTGTCTAGAGCTGATTGTGTGAGAGAATCCAGGTGATCAGTTGAATGCAGTGCTGTCTGGAAGAGCAGAAGCCTGAAGGTCCCGGGGTCCCCTCATACTAATGGGTCTTGGGGAGTGGGAGCTGTTTACAGTAACTTCAGAGGAACACCCTATCAATGAGGTAATCTTGTTAAAGCTAGTAGTGTCTTGTTGGGTGTGTCATTTCAAACCTTCTCCTAGATTGCTGGAAGAGGAGGAGGAAGGGGTTCTGCTTCTAATAATTTTTAAAAGATTTACTTATTTATTTGATAGAGTTACATAGAGAGATAATCTTCATCTGTTGGTTCCCTCCCCCAAAAAGCTGCAACAGCCAGGGCTGGGCCAGGCTGAAGCCAGGAGCTTCATCCTGGTCTCCCATGTGGGTGGCAGGGACTAAAACACTTGGTATGTTCTGTGGCTTTTCCCAGGCTATTAGTAGAAAGTTAGATCGGAATTGGAGCAGCTGGAACAGGAACCAGCACCCACATTGGATGGTGGCATTGAAGGCAATGGCTTTACCTGACTACTCCATGCACCAGCACCTGCATAATTGTTTATTATATTTATTTATTTATTTTATGCCAGGCAGAGTGGACAGTGAGAGAGACAGAGAGAAAGGTCTTCCTTTGCCGTTGATTCACCCTCCAATGGCCACCACGGCCAGTGCACCGCGCTGATTCAAAGGCAGGAGCCAGGTGCTTCTCCTGGTCTCCCATGGGGTGCAGGGCCCAAGCACTTGGGTCATCCTCCACTGCACTCCTGGACCACAGCAGAGAGCTGGCCTGGAAGAGGAGCAACCGGGACAGAATCTGACGCCCCGACCGGGACTAGAACCTGGTGTGCCAGCGCCGCTAGGCGGAGGATTAGCCTATTGAGCCATGGCGCCGGCCTTGCATAATTGTTTATATAAACACTAATCACAAAGGTTCCTATGCTGAAAAAAGGAACATTGTCAAGAATGTACCATGATGGTCAATTACGTGTGGAAACTGAATTGCTCCTCACTCTAGAGCAAGCAGATGGGCAATCAGTTGCTTCTTGGTTCCACAAGAGAAAGGTCCATGGAAGTTCGGATATGAGCCTGGACAGGGCGTAGACTGCCAATGTTGTGATCAGACCCCAAGGTAGAATGAAAAAGTGGTATTGCTTGTGACCCCTGTCCAAGGCTAAAATTACTGCATAGGGGCAGCTTCCTCAGGCCAGGATGCCAGGGCCTTCTCAGCAGTTAAAACATATTGACTCCCTCTTCTATCCATACTGTTCCTGTGGATCCTCACTGCAATTGACACTTCTCTGGATTTGCTTAGCCATCTCCTTGCTTTTACTTACTAAGCCATTATCTAGACACTGAAACCACAAGATATAAGGATAACCTAAGATAAAAGATATAAAGAGTAAGGGCTGCATTTGATAATTTAACTGATTTGACTTTTCAGCGCAGTCAGCACATCAGCGGATCCAGCCGTGGTCATACAATGAGCCCTCCATTCACTGTGTCACCTCTAATCCACAAGGGTGGTTGAACATTAAATGGACACGAACCAGACTAACAGCTAATGGCAGTTGACAGGATTACCATCTCAGGCTTGTATTGTCAGGAATCTATGCTTCAATTCCCCAGTTCAGTACTTTTCACAAATCTTTTATGAAAGCTAAGCCATCCTTAGCAGGAAATGATGGGAACCCTCCTAAAACCCAAGTTCCTGGATGCCAACCAAGAGCCAGTCTTGCAAGCAGGCCTTTCTGAGCCCAACAGCCTTAGAACTGCTACATTAACTTTCCTACACAAGTGGAGTAAATGTGTGAAGTTAGGTATGTACAGTCACTCCTCATTGTCCATGGGGGATTGGTTCTAAGACCTCTTGCAGGTACCAAAATACCTTATTAAAATGGCATTGTATTTACATATAATCTACCTGTATTCTCCCAAAGACTTTAAGTTATCTATAGATTATATACCTAATGCAGTGTAAATACTGTGTAAATAGCTGTTACATACATTATTGTCTAGGGAGTAATGACAAGGAAAGAAGGTCTATACATGTTTGGTACAGGTACAAGTTTTTTTTGTTTTTTTTTTTCTTGGAAATTTTCTTTGATATGGAAGTTGTGGATATAGGAGCCAATGACAATTCTACCAGATATACTTTGATTCTTTTTGTTGGAGTCTTTTCTCCTAATTTATCTTTAATCATTTTCACTACTTTATACCTAATATGTTTAATGGATAAGATAAGATTCAAAAGACACTAACAAAAAGTATTCATAAAAATTTTTGAGGGGCCAGCATTGTGGCATAGCAGGTAAAGCCACTGCCTGCAATGCCAGTATCCCTTGTGGGCACTGGTTCAATACCCAGCTGTTCCACTTCTAATTTAGCTCCCTGCTGATGCTCCTGGGAAATCGGTAAAGGATGGCCCAAGTGCTTTGGCCCCTGCATGCACATGGGAGACCCAGCAGAAGCTCTAGGTTCTTGGCTTCAGCCGCCCTAGCCCCGGCTGTTATGGCCCTCTAGGGAATGAACCAGCGGATGGAAGATCTCTTTTTCCCTTTGTCTTTCCCTCTTTCTAAATAACTGTGCCTTTCAAATATACAAAGCTTAAAATAATTTTTTTAAATAATTTGTTCCATATTCCCATATTTGTCAGTTTATTACACCTTCCTGTACTATACATTTGTAAAGTAAATGCAGACATAGAATCAGAGATTGTTCACTGTGTTTTTTAGGTTTAAAGACAATCGAAAAGATGACATTTGGCTTGTAGATGTGAGTATGTAAATTTTATATGCTAATTACCCACCCCTATTATAAGTATGATTTTCTATTCTTTTCCACCCAAAGATGGCAATATGTGGATAGTACTTGTGTCTGTGCTCAGTCTGTATTGTCAGATATTAACTAGTTGAGTTTTTTAGCCTGGCAAGGAGCCCTATTTTGATGAAATTCTGGGATGGAGGCTTTATGAAGGGAAGTGGGGTCTCCATGCTAAGAGAAGGAGGTCACATAGTAGATTCTATTTTAAGGGGATCATGGTAGTAATTTTTTATAGAACTCTTACCTACCCTTTTATTTCTTCATATTTTTCAAGAGATTAAGTATACTAGTATTGCTTAGTAGTCAATTTTATTTTCATTTTACTGGTGAGAAAAACTAAACTTTCATCTTCCTCTCTCCACTTTAAAGTTTGGAGTACATTTAAATCTTATGCTACTGGCAGCTCTCTTGATTTGCCTCAGCACAAAAAGTAGGGTAGCCATAAAACAGATGGAACAAGAATGGGATAGTTGACAATTACTGAAGCTAGGTGATGGCACAGGAGGGTCTGTTTAATTCTTTCTCCTTTTGTGTGTCTTTGAACATCCCATTGTATGCACTTAAAAAAAAAAAACAACTTACACCCTGAAAGTGCAGTAGGCGGTTGCTACACCATGTAATTAGGGGAACCTGAGTATCCTCTTAACATTTAGTGATCCTGAAGGACTTTGGTTTTAGTGTAGTCATCCTGACTGGCGCCTCTGCAGACCAGTCATCTGAACTATCTCCTGAGAGTCAGCAAAGGCACTTACTGTGTTGGAATTTTATCATTAATGCTTAGAGAGTATATATTTTTATATGGTGACATGCATGTTTTTATGGTGGTTTCCTTTTATATGGAGCATGAACACAATTACTTGGAGGCAAAGATGTTTTTTATTATATATCATGTATCTTTAAATAAGTATCAGTGGCCATTTGAAAGGAACTTAAAATAGTATCAGTTTTGAAATATTAAGAAGTTAACTTATGTGTGTCTTTGGTTATAAAAACTCTTAGAAATTATATTTAAACTTTTTGTCTGAAGTAGATTATTACAATTAATATTCCAGTGACACAACATTTCAGTATTTTTTATTTTCCTTTTTTGGAACAAGTTTTATGCACCGTGGTGTGGCCATTGCAAAAAACTGGAACCGATTTGGAATGAAGTTGGCCTTGAGATGAAAAGCATTGGTTCTCCAGTTAAAGTTGGGAAGATGGATGCTACTTCCTATTCTAGTAAGCCTTCACTTGGTTTATTATTTTACTGTTATTATAATGAAAGTGCTTCCATTATATGCAGCAATAGTTGAGGCAGGAGAAATAAAGTTGTTTTTCCTCATGTAAAATTGTCTTAACAGTTTATGACTACAAAAACTCTATATTGAGTTAAATGAATTAGCCATTGAACATGTAAATGCTGTAATCTTATGGCTAATGCATACACAGAGCCCTAATATGCTTCAACTTGAGCCCATCTAAAATAATCCATTTACATGAGTCAGTGAGAGAAAGCTCTGTCATAACTATTGATTATGCATGTGAGTTGAGAAATGGTGGTGTGTGTGAGCAGCCCGAGACAGCAAATAAGGCATAGGTAGGGATCTGAAGGATGAGTTCAATTAGGATAAATACAAATGGTACTCAGGAAAGTGCTCACATTGAAAATGGTGTTAGGGCAAAATTAGTTGAAAATGAACTTACTGAGTCTGTCCCACAGGGTAGAAGGAAGCAGCGGTGGGCCAACTACAACTTGTGGGCCAAATCTGTCCCGAGAGCTATTTCTTTGACTAGAGTTAGATTGCACCCATTCATTTTCTGTTGGCTATGGCTCTTATTGTACTCCAGTGACAAAACCAAGTAATTGTGATAGGGACTGCATGCCTCCCAAAGCCTAAAATAGTTATCTAACCCATTACAGAAAACGTTCTCCAACACCTGTCTTAAAGGATGTAGAAAAAGAAGTATGAGGTTCCATATGAATTTGGAAAGAGTGTGGCTATAAAAAGCAGACCTGGATTCAAATCCTGGCTCTGCCCACATATTGCTTTGTGTTACTGAGTTGGTTTCTGAACACCTCTGAGTTTTGGTGTCCATGGGTAAATATTTAATTGTAATACTTCTTTAGTTGGTTGTTTTGAGATTCGAATGTTGTAACACTTGTAAAAACCTATATTCATTAAATGTAGGTTTGCTTTTGCTTTAATCAATGAAGAAAGGAGACGTATGTAATATTTCTTTCTAGGACATCAGTTTTATGTTCTGGCTTGTACTTTGGAGCAAAACAGACCTGTTCTGTAATCTCAGCTCTGCCTTGCCTTACTAGCTTTGAAGAAGTAGTTAATCTCACTTTAGTTTCCTTGTCTGTAAGGGAGAATGGTAATCCTCAGTAAGGTGAGGTTTATGTTAATATCTTATATCCAAGAACCCCAGCACAGTGGTAAAATACACATGCTGCTAAAGGATAATAACCTCCCAGGTCAGACACAGTGTTCTGCGTTTTGAGCTTTATCCGTTGTCATTTGGAGAATACTATATGTTTTTGTCAGTAACTTACAGTATAGAGGAGAAGAGCAGGTAGATACAGGCAGGAAGACCATCTGTAATCATACTGTGTCCTGGTGGAAGGTGCCAGGAGCCCAGGCTGTGGTAGAGATTGTAGTCTCAAGTAAAACCATAATCATCCCAGTCACTTTTGAGGCTGATATCACAGATATGATAGAGTGACTCTGTAATGTGGAAAAAAAAGATCAATAAAAAACAGTAGTCTAAGGTTCTTAGTGTAGTTCCTGAGCTGTACTTCCACTGTCATGTGAAAAGGAGTAATAGATATGCGTATGCTTTCTGTTTTGTTTTTCCAGTGGAAAGCAAAATAGTAAGGTTTATTAGGGTAGGGACATCCGTAAGAACGGACGGGCACCTCTCCAGACAGAACCTGAGAGTGCGCAGTTCACATTTAGGCTGGGGTTTTTAAGGGGATGGGTCTTGCCTTCCCCCCTTTTCTCTCCCCTTCTCTCCTTCTCCTCCTCTCGAACAAAGAACTTGTTGGGTATAAATATGAAGAATTCCTTTCTGAGTTTTTCCCTCTGAAGTTATCAGACAGGGAAAGCCTGGCTGGTGTCTCCCCGCCTTAGAGGAAGGATGTTCATCAGGCCAGGTAGAAGGGGCAGGACCCCCTGGAAGGTCATCAGGATCCAGGTGGGACTTTGGAGTGCAGATACTAGGCTGCACCTGGAAAGTTATTGGGTAGAAGGGTCAGGACTCCCTGGAAGGTCATCAGCATCCAAGCAGGACTCTGAAGTGCAGATGCTGGGCTTCTGGAGCTTCTGCAGTGGATGCTGGGCTTCAGGCCTTTCTCATATACACATAGGCTCAATTTCTGACTTCCTACCTAACATATCCCCTCTCAAGAAAAAAATAATTCTTTTATGGGGATAAGTGGGCGGAGTTCTGTCTTCTATAGCTACTTCGAAGCTGACAAATGGGCGTCAAGGTGGATATGGGTATTTTTCTATTGCTATCTGTCCTTTGGTGCTTGAGAGTGGCCTCAGGAAGCATTGTCCTACTTGGTCCAGAGGATGGGTCACCTTATCTGATGAGTTAGGCTGGAAGTCCTGTCTTGGAAGCACGTGAAGCCAGATGGCTTGTCTTCTGTTAGGGACAGAACAAACGAAGATGTTAAGGCACAATAGTCTGCAGATAGCAGAAGGAATGTGGATGCTATGTTGCCAAGGAGAGGCAATGACCAGGATTTCCATGACCAGATGTAATGTTAGGCCAGATATTTTAGCCTTGTCTGAACTTGTCCAAGAAAGCATAAATATGATTTCGTACCCATTTAGTTTGACCCTAGTTTGGGACACTTTCTTGGGCAGCAGGTAGCAGAGGTAGGGCCTGCCTGTTTGAAGGACTGAATTAGCAATCCCTTTGTGAGAGCCCTTGTCATGGCTGCTTTTTAATGGATGAAAGCTGTGCTTTGTTTGTTTTTCCTAAAGGAGGGGTCTCTGCTTTGGCTCCCTGTTGAGCCTGGTTTAGGAACTGTGTTATTTCCTGTATCTAGGAATCTGTTACCTGTTAGGGAAAAGCTGGGACTGATTGAAATTTGCAGAAGTAGGAAGCTGCAAGGCCCATATCCTCTCTGGGGCTGGTTTTCTCTCCCCAGGGGTGAGGATAAGGGTTAAATAATTAACACTCTAATGGACTGGCTATGCTTTTTTTTCCTCTGGATACCTAGTAGTTAGTTTTGCTAGGAAGTTAAGCCAGTGTACAAGATCAGAGTCTCAGTCTGGAAAAGGAAACAGACTAATAAATCATTTACATTTAACCATCTACATTTTGGATTAATGTGCACCCCCCTCAAGAGATAGGCCCATTAAGTCCTCAGTGAGGATCTGTCCAAATAGGCGCAGGACTATCTAAGTTAGCTGTTACTCAAAGCTCTGTTTTTAGGAACTGGCAGGAAGGGTTTTCTAAGCTTAATAATATTTGGATAGACTTTTAAGGCCTGGCTGAGTGTGTGAGACAGAGACCTATCCATGGGGTGCTGGAAGAGAATTGCAGAAGATGTGCATCTGCTTAAGGGAGGCACCCTGTTGACTCGCATTACATGACTGGACTGGGAGGAGAGCTGAATAGGAGGCTGGTTCAAATAGGCAACTTACATTTCACTGACCCTAGGCCATCCCCTCAATAGCAGTGGCTAGAGTTGGAGGCTTGGCAGAGGCTAGGTAGAGCCAAAGGCTTTTTAACTTGGGGCCACAGAGTCTGTGGTTCTGAACCAGGAGTTCTTCAACACCCAGGGCAGTTTCGTGACTAGTGGCCTTGCTCTTGGCAGAGCTGACAGAAGCCGATTTTAGTCACGACAGCTGCTTGCCCAATGCCCTGGCTCCTCATATCGGAAACAGATGCCGTTTGGGGTGCGCTGGCCTTGTTGGGTCTCCTTGATGGCAGATCACTGTGTAAAGCAGCCATTGATTAGCCTGTTGCCTATCCCTACATCGCTCCTGCTGCTAGCTTGCTCCTCATTCTCCTGGTCTCTAATAAAGTAGACCATGGAGGCAGTCTCTATGATGTCAGTCAAGGGGGTACTCAACCCAACCCTGATTTTTTGAAGATTTCTTTAATGTCATCAGGGTGAGCTAGAAAACTATGGTCATGGGCAAATTCTGACACTTAGTAAAAGTTAAAAGTTAAAAACCATGTTAAAACTGTGCCCATGAGGAGAACTATGACCTTTTAGGTAAGATCAAATGTGGTGACCTGCTTGTATACTTTGAGGTCATCAGAACAACTTTCTGTCTTCCCCTCAATTTGGTTTAAAAGGGGAGTTCTGCCCATTTACCGTGTACACAGAGAAAACAATCTAGCTGTAACATTATTTTATAGTTTAACTTCTCATTTTCTGGCTATGCTGTTTGGTCCTCTACTGGGGCCAGGCATTATTACAGAAAAGGTAAGTTATCCCTTACATAAGGTCTGGGATCAAACCATACATCACAGTGGAGAGTCCTGCAGAACAGTAGTAACTTCCCTTCTGGAAGAGAAAAGAGGAGAAATGAGGCAGCGAGTCGGGTCTCTCTGGTTGCTTAGCCTGACTTCCTGGGCTTTCAGATTTAACCGGCGTTTAACCAGTGCTTACTGCGTAGCCTGACTGAGAGGAGAAGTTGTGACAGACATCTCTGCCATTCTTTGGCTTCCGGATGCTTACTGTGTAGCCAATGGGTTATGGGCCTGGTTGCCGGGTTTAACTAGTCTTACTGTGTAACCCCTAAGTTTATACTAGAACATACCACATAACTCAAAAGTGAGTTTTTGAATTATGTAGTGTTTGGGCTTCCGTGTTTTCACCGTGTAGCCTGTGGACACTAGAGCTTTCTTGGGCTCCTGGAACCCAGGTCTCTAGTATCTGCCGCATGACCACCTCCAATAGTCTCCAAGTCTCTTGGAACACCTTCTCCCTTTTGGCTGGACCTCTGTTTGATCCACATTTGAACTAACAATACATTTGAACTAGCAATGCCTGGTTATTCAGCATTAGCTGGATGGAGACTTTGCCATTCCCCCTTTAAAGGATCTGGATTCTGAGCCAGAGACTGGAACAGCTAGAAAGAAACATGTTTATAACTGAAGTTTAGCATCATTTCACATCTTGGCAACACCTTTCATCTAAATAGCCTGATTGGTTATCTTTGCAAATGAGAGATGCATCTTTTGACATTTCCAGGGGCCCCTCTGGAGATACCTAAAGTCTAGAGAATTTAGAACTTCGATTTTCAGAAAGTCTGTTAAAGATGCCAAGAGAACCTAGAGTATCTGGTCAAAATAGAATTCCTTAACATCCTGAAATGGTAGCCATTCACTTAGGGCAATTTTAGCACTTTTAGACCAGATTTAATCATAATGATATTTAAGATAACTTAAACTTTCAAGACTCAATGCTTTTCATCAATCTGAACTTAACAGAGACAGAGTACAGGGTCCTTGTCTTCACGCAAGAAAGAATTCAGGCGTCAGACAGAACAGTGGAAGGCAAAATAGCAAGGGTTATTAGGGTGAGGACATCCCTGATAATGGATGGGCACCTCTCCAGACAGAATCTGAGAGAGAGTGCCCTATGTTTTCTAGTTATCAATTCTGAATTTATTTATTTATTTATTTATTTTTTTGCTGTGTTGATGTTTGTGAGTAGGGAACTAGAGTGCATGTGAAATGTAGTTAGGGGTGGAATTACTGAGTCACACAAAAGAATTGTTGGAACTTTGAAAAGAGATAAGTGGACATTGTTATAGGGCATGAAGAACACACTTTATTCACATAATCCTCCCAAAACTGTTTCTGTGTTTTTGCTTAGAAGAGGGCAATCTCAGTCATCATAGTTGTCTCCATTTAGAATATACTTTGGTAGAATTCTGTCTTAAATTGGAGATGGGCACCAAGAAATTATTGCTGTAGGTTCAGAGCAGGTGTTCAGAGGCAGGGCCTGTGTCTTCAGGACCTGCGCACAGAACAGGTGTTCAGAGGTAGGGCCTGTGTCTTCAGGACCTGCGCTCAGAGCAGGTGTTCAGAGGTAGGGCCTGTGTCTTCAGGACCTGCGCTCAGAGCAGGTGTTCAGAGGCAGGGCCTGTGTCTTCAGGACCTGCGCTCAGAGCAGGTGTTCAGAGGCAGGGCCTGTGTCTTCAGGACCTGCGCTCAGAGCAGGTGTTCAGAGGCAGGGCCTGTGTCTTCAGGACCTGCGCTCAGAGCAGGTGTTCAGAGGCAGGGCCTGTGTCTTCAGGACCTGCGCTCAGAGCAGGTGTTCAGAGGCAGGGTCTGTGTCTTCAGGACCTGCGCTCAGAGCAGGTGTTCAGAGGCAGGGCCTGTGTCTTCAGGACCTGCGCTCAGAGCAGGTGTTCAGAGGTAGGGCCTGTGTCTTCAGGACCTGCGCTCTGCTGTTCATGATGCTCTTAGAAAGCGAGTTGCTCACTGTCCAGGCCCTTCCACTCTGTCCATGTGTCTGAGGAAGAGACACCATAGAGTTACAAAGGAAGAAGACATTTTGCGTAGTATTTTGCCACAAATTCACTTTGTCAGTATTCTTGTGAAGCGGTGAGGAGTGATGAGAAGCCAGACTCATGAAGACTACCAAAGTGGTGTGTTGTTTTGTTTTTCTTGTTTAAGATTTATTTATTTGAAAGGCAGAGTATTACAGAGACAGATCTTCAGTCTGCAGCTCAGTCCCCCAAATGACCACGGCAACTGCGGCTGGGCCAGGCTGAAAGCAAGGAGCCGTGAACTCCATCAGGGTCTCCCGCATGGGTGGCAGGGGCCCAAACACTTGGGCCATCTTCCACAGCTTTTCAAGATGTGTCCGCAGGGAGCTGGATGAGAAGTGAAGCAGCCAGAACTTAAACTAGTGCTCCTATGGGATGCTGGTATTGCAAGCTGTGGCTAAACTTGCTGCACTGGCCCCTACATGATTATTAAAACAGGACACAAGTTTGGGAATATCAGAAAATATCTAAGGAAGAAATAGGCCTGGATTTTGTTGTCATTTTGTTTTGTTTTGTTTTGAAGAATGAATGAGACCCAGAAAGAGATAACTTTTTCTTGAAATGAAGTCAGTTGAAAAGTACTTTGTGTACTGTTTGGTTTTTGTTTTTTGTTTTTTTTTTTTTAACCAGAATGTCTTCGAAAACATAACTTTAGAGATAAATTTTTGACTCTTCTAGCATTTGTTTTTTGTGTTATCATAGTATTTTGCTGACTATACATTGATTATTAAATAATTGCTTTATATGAGAATGTCATGTTTTTTTCTTTTTCTGTATGAGTGTTTTTTTTTTTTTGACACTTAAAATATCTACATGGGTTTGTATAAATATATCTATTTTTTTTTAAATAAAAGGCTCATTTGTTACCTGGTTTCTCATTTTTAAAAAATTTAGAATTATTTATTCTTTTTCTTATCAAGGCATTGCTTCAGAATTTGGAGTTCGAGGTTATCCAACAATTAAGCTGTAAGTTGAGTGTTGTATGTTTTTATGTGTATTTTTATTAGTTCACTCTGCTTACATTTTATTATATTAATTTCTAATAACTGCCTTGGAGGATTGAAGATTTGGGTTCAGTATTTCTGGGTGAAATAGGTGATCAAAGAAGCGAGACTGACTCTTTATGCTTTTCTTTATTTAAGTAATAGTGTAGAGCTAATTCAGCAAATGTGTTGAGTCCTACTGTGTGATATGTGCTGTGCAGGACAAGATACATGGTTGTAAATTATGAAAGGTCTGATCCCCTTGGAGGAGCTGGTACACATTCTGTTTTCTCATTGGAAATCCCATCTCCCAACATCATTAGCTTTTGTTCAATAAAAATAGACATTTCATTAGAGAGTAAGGAAAGGAAGAGTCGCAAAATTGATGGTGGTTAGCTCTAATCTGTAGGTGTTTCGCAAGTCTTGATAGGGTGTACAAGTTGAAAGATGATGTGGTAATTCTAAAAGGGCTTGTTTTACAGTTGTGACTTCATTGAATTTTCTCATGATTTTCATTAATCTTATTTTGAGCATGTGAGGAGCTAAGGAATTGTTTTGAAAGTTACAGCTTTGAAATTATAATAATTTAAGAGTATTTTTTGTTTTGTGTTGACCTCCCTGTTTCCTTCACTTTTTAAGAATATTTGTTAGGCCTCGTTTACTTTATGTATCAAGTTAAGTTTTCCTTTCTTTTCTTTCTGTTTAATTGTAGGTGTTCTGTTTGGTGCTTCCCAATTTTTCTTGTTTTATAGTTCAGTTATTTAGACACCTTGAGAATTGCCTAATTTTTTAGAAGAGTTGTTTTTAATGCTTTGTTTTACTCTGTAATGTTGAAGCATCTCTCAAGTAACTGTGATGTTGTATTGCCTAACATTTGTTTTGCTACTATCAAAATCTTCTTAATACCTCCTTATATTTATACTTTCTGACAGGGAAGATAGTGAGAATTACAGTGCTAAATTTTCTAAGCTCTTACTCATGAATGAATTTACTTTTCAGAAGGTAAATACAGAGTGAAATGTATGTAATTTTAATAGAACAGTACCTTTTTCTTTGTGATTTGAGTTACTGGTCTTCTAAAGTCAGTTGCCTACTATGTTTCACATGAGTATACTACTTCTGAAACTCCCCTGTATTTACTATTTATATACTACAATTTTATGCAATAGCAAGTGATTAACATTAAATATTAAGCAGTTAAAGTAGCCCAAGTTTTTAATCCTTTTTTGTTTCTTTTTAAGATTAAAGGGGGATTTGGCATATAATTACAGAGGACCACGAACTAAAGATGATATTATTGAATTTGCTCACAGAGTATCTGGGTAAGTTCTTATTCAGAAAGCTGTATATGGTGTTAATGTTTAGTAATAAATATATATTTAGTAGAGCACATTGAACATATTTTGGAGATTATGCAGCATGTACAAAGACTTGCTGTTAGGCAGCAAGTGGAAGCCATGATCTGTACTGTATTAGCATCTTCTTAAGATTATTTTCATCTTTTTTTTTTTAAATGAAAGATTTATTTGAGAGGTAGAGCCACAGATAGTGAGAGGGAGAGTGAGAGAGAGAGAAAGGTCTTCCATCCATTGGTTCACTCCCCAAATGGCCGCAAAGGCTGCAGCTAAGTAGATCCCGAGCCAGGAGCCAAGAACTTCTTCCGGTCTCCCACGTGGCTGCAGGGGCCCAAGTGCTTGGGCCGTCTTCTACTGCTTTCCCAGGCTATTGCAGAGAGCTGGATCAGAAGAGGAACAGCCAGGACTAGAACCAGTGCCCATATGAGATGATGGCGCTGGAGGCAGAAAATTAACCTAGTGTGCCACAGCACCGGCCCCTAACGTCATGTTTAAATTCATTTTGTATATTGAATTTCTGACCAGCAAATTCTGATAAATTTTCAAATTTTCGATCATTTACACAGTAGGCCTCATATCTGTGTGGAATGACCTCCAGTGGATACCTGAAACCACAGATAATACCAAACACTATATTAGGAAATTTAAAGTTTGTGGGAAAGGGAATGAAATTATTTTAATTTTTATTTTGGTGCAGAAACACTTTGGAATCCTTGCACAGTTTCTTTTTCACAAATGCATTTTCATAAGCTTTTTAGAGACTCTTCATATGCATGGATTTCAGAATTTTACACTGAAATATATTTATCTTTTAATACCATTTTTCCACAAACTTTCTAAAGTCCCCTCATATACTGCTTTTTCCTATATATGGGCATCTGTGATAAAGTTTAATTTATAAATTAAGCACAGGAGGAGATTAACAACTGTAGGTAAAGGTAAAAATGGAACAGCTATACCTATGCTATCTCAAAGGACTTATTGTTCTTTTGCCTTTTCACGTAAAGAAGTACTTTACAGCTTCTCATTGGCATGTCTGAATTGCCGGCATCTTCCTGTTGTGTTGAGGGTCATTGTTAAGTTTGATAAGGTTTACTTGAACAGGAACACAGCAGTGCCATGACCGTTGCTGTGGTAGCCAAGGAGGTGACTGAGTGACTTCCGGGTCATGAGCATACACAGCGTGCATACGCTGAGCGAAGGCTGATTGATGTCCTGTGCAGGTTGAAGCTGGGCTACATGAGATTGCACTTCATTCACTCAGAGTGATGCGCGACTTAGAACTTATGAACTCTTTATTTATGGAATTGTCTATGAAATATTTTTGGAACATGGTTGATGTACATAGCTTAAACCATGCAAAGTGAAATCATGGATAAGACTAGACTATTGTGGCAACTTTTTGAATATTTTATTTTATGATTATTTGCTTTTGAACTGCCTGGTTTACATGGTTTATTTCTCTTGTTGCTTAATTTCAGATTTCTAAGAGAAGCCCTACAATATTGATGTTCTGAATAAACTTAGACTTCATCTCTAGCTTGTGGTATTGGAAATGCTGTTTTAGATGAAGCTAGAATACTTTTCTTTATCTTTCACATATTTCTACCATCTATAAGGAAGTATTGCATTTTTGCTTAGGATGTGACATATTTGAAATAGAAAGATCTATTTCTCAGGTTTTACTGATAAGAAAATAAATTCTTATGTAGTGATTTCCTGTTTGAATGTGTTGATTTTCTTAAAAAAGATGCTGACATATAAAAAAAATCAGCACTTATAATTATTTAATGTGATTATGTAGAATTTCTGGAAGAAAACATTCATCAAGATAGATTATTTTGGTTTCAACAAAAGGGCGCATTCAGGGGGCAACATTGTGGCTCAGCAGGGTATACTACAGCCCACAATTCTGACATCCCATATGGGTGCCAGTTCAAGTCCTGGCTGTTCCATTTCCAATCTAGCTCCCTGCCTGAGAAAGCAGTGGAAGTTTGTCCAAGTTCTTGGGCCTCTGCACCCATGTGGGAGATCCAGATAGATTTCCAGGCTCCTGGCTTCTGCCTGGCACCCCCTGGCCATTGTGGCCATTTGGGGAGTGAACCAATGGATGGAGGATTCATTTTCTTTCTCTCTCTCTCTTTTTCTCTCCTGCTCCCTCATTCTGTAACTCCACCTTTCAAATAAACTAATTAATTAAAAAAAGAAAAGTGGGCACTTTTTTATGAGCTTGAACAGAATATGTTGTATTGATGGATAACTTTCAATAGCCTTAGGGTAAATTAAAACAGGATAACTTTGTTATGGGGTGTTCTTTGAGGAAGAACTTCTTTGAGGAAGTTCACAGAATTAGTGACCTTTATATATTAAAATTCCCAGTGTTTACTAATAAAATTTTCACTTTCTTCTCATTGATTGTGAGTTTCATTTTCTTTATTTGCTTCATGAATAAGTGAATTGTGAGGTAACTTTAAAATTATATCAAGGAGTGCTAGTAGATTGCACTGTATTCCCCTATGATTTATATTAGTCTTTATGTTTTGGTAACTTAATGAGTTTTGGCTGAAGCTTAAGAAGGGATTCTTCTGATGTAACTGGGGATGACTCTGGCAAGTGAAATTTCAAGCAAGTGTTGGAGTTGCATCATTTACTGGTTAATTGTTCAGTGTTAAAATAGATACTGGCAAAGAGTGATGCAATGCATTTTATAAGTTGTGCATTTGAAAGTGCAGAACATTGCATAATTGCAAAGTATCTTGTGCTCTTTTTATAAATTTTGTGACCTGAAAATCTGATAATATATAGCATGTTTAAAAGAAGACTTTTTAGTTTTGTAATGATGTTTTATAGGTGATATGTTTTATAATAAGCTTTGAAGTCATTCCTATCTCAGTGTATTTGCTCTTGAAAATGCTTTTACACAGGTGCTTCAAAGTTTGGAAGATGGAAACAAAAGATAAGCTTGTTTTGGTACAGAGAGATTCGAATTTTGTGCATTGTTTTTCACAGTATACATTTTCTGTGAACTCTTTGAAGACCCCTTATATGATAAAACTATGTAGTTTTTTTCTCTTTATGAAACTTATGTACTAATATGACTGTCATTTCCATGTTATGTTCTCTGAAAATAGTAATTAATAACATACTTTTGAAACTGATTGAAGTTTTAACTTTCATAGGGTATTTATTTAAGTTGACAGGATAAAATACAAATATATATTTTAAGATTTGTTTATTCATTAGTTTTAAAGGCAGAATGACAGAGATGGAAGAGTGGGGAGAGAGATCTTTCATCTGGTGGTTCACGCCCTAAATGGTTACAGCAGCTGGGGCGGGGCCAGGCCAAAAGCAGGAGCCAGGAACTCCATTTGCGTCTACCTGTTGGGTGGCAGGTACAAAGTACTTGACCATCATCTGCTGCTTCTGAGGTGCATTATCAGGGAGCTGGATTGGAAGTGAAGTATCAAGGATTCACCCCAGCATTCGGGTACCTTAATGGGTAGCTTAACCCATAGTGCTGCAGTGCCCTCCCCAACAGAAATATTTTTGTTTTTTTAAAAGATTTACTCATTTATTTGAATGAGAGAGGAAGAACGAGCGATAGAGTCAGAGAGATCCTCCACCAGCAGGTTTACTCCCCAAATGGCAACAGCTAAGGCTTGCCTGGGCCAAAGCCAGGAGTCAGGAACTCCATCCAGGTCTCCCATGTAGGTGGATAGGATTCGAGTACTTGAGCCATCATTTACTTTCCAGGTACGTCAGCAGACAGCTTGGTAGAGAGCAGCGTAACTGGGATTTGAACCAGTGCGCAGATGTGAATGTGGGTTAACCCAGCATGCCTCAATGCCTGCCCTGTTAATAAGTGTTAAATACACCTGGGATAGTATTTCATACCGTGTTTCTGTGAGTGATCTTTTGGAAGGGAAAAAATAATTCTCCTGTGAATTGCTTTGTTTTCAGCTGATAGCTCTAAATAGATAATAGCTCTGCTTTTGCCTATCATAATATTTGCAGTGATGGTACTCTGAAGGGACATTTTTGAAATTAATAGATTAAATTATGGGTAGTATATAAATTTTTAATACATGGGTACAGTAGTAGTCATGGGCTGTAATGTTTTTAGGTTTATGTGCATTTGATGACATGCTAAAAATATATGTGAAGACACTTCAGTAAGTTTGTGGACAGTAGAATGAAAAGGTAAGTTTATTTTGGTGCAAAAATTTTGAAGTCGATATGTTCAAGAAGTCTTCAAAAAGTTCATGAGAAAATACATATTATGAAAAAAACTACACATGTATTCCCAAGTTTTTTGGCATCAAAATAAGTTGATTTTTTAAATTTGATTTTCCATGAACTTTTTGAAGTAGCCTCATTATTAAAACTTTTTAAACTCTGAACATGATTTCCTATTGTAGGAATAGTAAATTATATGCTATCTTTAGTTATTTTTATTTTGTTTTCAAACAGGGCTTTAATTCGGCCACTTCCAAGTCAGCAAATGTTTGAACATGTACAGAAGAGACATCGTGTATTTTTCGTTTATATAGGTGGAGAATCACCTTTGAAAGTATGAATTTGTTTTATTTTGTAATGCAGAAAAACAACCTTGTTACTATAATTTAACTTTCTGTGTAGCCAAGACTTCACAAAAACTCAAAACTTATTCTTTCTGGAATTACTTCAGCTTTATCTGAGTGTTTTTATAATAAAAACTCTTTATTCTGTAGTATCTACAGTGTTTGTCTATATGTAGTAAAAGTGAGTAGATGTTGCTTGCCTTATCATTTCTTTTATTATTAACTTTATTTTATTTATATCTTTAACATTTTACTGGCTTGGGACTGCAAACTGCGGTTTGAGTGTCTTTTTTTTTTTTTTTTTTTGACAGGCAGAGTGGACAGTGAGAGAGAGAGAGACAGAGAGAAAGGTCTTCCTTTGCCATTGGTTCACCCTCCAATGGCCGCCACGGCCGGCGCACCACGCTGATCCGATGGCAGGAGCCAGGTACTTCTCCTGGTCTCCCATGGGGTGCAGGGCCCAAGTACTTGGGCCATCCTCCACTGCACTCCCGGGCCACAGCAGAGAGCTGGCCTGGAAGAGGGGCAACCGGGACAGATTCCGGCGCCCCGACCGGGACTAGAACCCGGTGTGCTGGCGCTGCAAGGTGGAGGATTAGCCTAGTGAGCCACAGCGCTGGCCTTGAGTGTCTTTTAAATGCAAAAGACCATTGTTGCTTATTTTGCTTATGTTTGTGTAGCTTGTAGTCACCATCACCATCAGTGTCATTGTTCATCTAATCTAAAATTAACCTCCTTATTTAGAGGAGAATGCGGGAACAGGGTTCCAGAGGTCACTGCCTTAGTAGCAGTTTGGTTTGCTGCTATTCAGTTTTTTTCCCATCAGAGGCAGCAAGCAAGTGCTACTGACTGCATGGGAACTCTGATAGTTTAATGAGGAATGGATCTTGATCTTTAATATTTTTAAATGGCTTTTTTTTTTTGTATCTTGTAACAGGAGAAATACATCGATGCTGCTTCAGAATTGATTGTATATACATACTTCTTTTCTGCCCCTGAAGAAGTAGTTCCTGAGGTAGTACTTAATAATTTGATCTTACTTACACAATTCCACTTTTAAAATAATTACTTGATTTCATCAGATTTATTAACTGTGACATCTGTGGAAAAAGTGTGTTAACTCTTTACTGCTGGTATCATATAACTTACTATTAATAAACACATTTCACCAGATTCATGGCATTTCTGAATTGTGATTATTACATTAGTGATTTTTTTTTCTCTCTTTAAAGTAAAAGTAGTGGTGAGAAGTGATGGTTCTCTGTGCACTGCTCTACAAGTAGTGGATCTTTGCGTGCATTCATAGGTCTGTTTCAGATGGGGTCAGCCTGAGATAGCACTTCTCAGTCATCAGACCTACTAACAAAGCATCGTAAGTTCTGTGAGAAAAAAAATGAAGGGGCCGTGTTATAGTTGGGAGTCTGAAGCATTATGTCAAATGCTTGCCCCTAATTTTACTCTTTTATAATAAGTACAACACTGGTATAAGCAGTAGGTGCTTAATGACTAGAGTAATTATTAATACCATTGTACGGTTTTTCAGTAAAGCGGTATTGTTTAAACAGTGCTCTTGCTTAGGTTATCTTGTGTAACTCATAACTGCCGTGTAAGGTAGGTAGTATCCCTGTGCTTATCACACGGATGAGGTAGCAGACTCCTCTAGGTAATGTTCGGCTCAGTGTCCTGCAGGCAGTGAGTGAGGGAGGACTCATTCCTGGCCAGGCTGGTTGATGCCTGCCCTGCCCTGCTGCTCTGCCCTTGTAGAGGGCCTCTCATCCTTTATTTCCTGTGATGACATCTTTAGGTCTCTTATCAGCTCTAAAAATGCTTTGTGGTTTTTACCATGGTAGCTAGAGGGTGCACCTCAAGGATCCAATCCAGGATGAGCTTGGCATTGTATTTTTTTTTAACTGTTTGGAACCTGTTGCTGTTACTTTGTGTGTGCTTTCTGGCATGTTTTGGTAACTTTGAAATCATAGCTACCACTTAACATTTTTTAGTGGTAAAAAGGTACTTAAACTTCTGATTTTTTTTTTTTTTTTCAGTATGTGACACTGAAAGAGATGCCTGCTGTGCTTGTTTTCAAAGATGAAACCTACTTTGTTTATGATGGTAAGTTGCAGTGTTCTGACTCCTAGAACATGTTGAAATTAAAATGCTGTATCTACTATAGGACATGGGTATTAATAAATGATTTTGTATTTACTTAATTTTGAATGACAGAAGCATTATTTTTCTCCCTGCAACTTTAGTTTTTTCATCTAACAATCTCTTACTCTGAGTTTTGCCTGCTTTGAGGGTTTTTGTCAAATTATTTTCCTTTTATGAGAAGTAAAGCCTATGCCATTCTTATACATTATTTTTGAATGTTCGTATTTTTAAAGGGCATCTAACATTTTGGACGCAAAAGAAGACGAGGGGAGCTGGCACTGTGGCGCAGCGGATTAACGCCCCGGCCTGAGGTGCCAGCATCCCATATGGGCGCCGGTTCTAGTACCGGCTGCTCCACTTTGGTCCAGCTCTCTGCTGTGGCCTGGGAAAGCAGTGGAAGATGGCCCAGGTCCTTGGGCCCCTGCACCCATGTGGGACACTGGAGAAAGCTCCTGGCTTCAGATCAGTGCAGCTCCAGTCGTAGCAGCCAATTGGGGAGTGAACTATCAGATGGAAGACCTCTCTCTTTCTCTCTCTGCCTCTCCTCTCTCTGTGTAACTCTTTTAAATAAATAAATCTTAAAAAAAAAAGATGATGAGGAAAGGAAGCCACTTGAGTGGTTCTGAAGCCCCAGGTGTCCCGCCGTAGCTGCATCTTCCTCTCTGTCAGACATGACCACATCCTGCTCTTCAGTATTTCTTCTGCGTCTGTTTTAAAAATATTTTTGGCTGGGCGATGGGGTGCAGTGAGTTAAATGGCCACTTTAGGTTTCCACATCCCACGTCATAGTCCCTGGGCTTGAGTCCCAGCTCCCCTTCTAATTCCCGCTTTCTCCTAAAGCACACACTGGGAGACTGCAGTCGATGCCTCACATATTTGGATTCCTATCATGGGAGAGACCTGATGGAGGTCCAGGCTCCTGGCTTTGGATTGGCCCAGCCCCAGTTGTTGTAGGCATTTGGGAAATGAACCAGTGGATGGAAGAACTCTGTCTTTCAGATAACATAAACGTAAAATAAAAACATTAAAAATAAAAAACTCAGTTTCTCATTCTCATTAGCCAGTGGTCTTATATAGCTGATGGTTAATACGTTGGAGAAGACAGATGAGGAACATTGTACTCATGCTGCACTGTAGTTTTTCTAGCTGAATTCTGTGTAAAGCCGATGAGCTAGTTGAGATCAGTAGACTTGAGTTGCTTAAATAATTCAAATATATAGAAGAATATCCAATAAAAGATATTTTTGAGTAATTTGTTTTAGTAAAAGGATCATTTTGTCTGATTTAACAGTCATGTTGTGAAGACTAGGCATTTCTGATTGTTATTTTCTTTATGAGAACCAAATTTGATTTCTTGCTACAGAATAAATACTGTTTCAGTTGTTGTCATAGAGCAGGTGCTATCTGTATTCTTAACTTGACATTTTCTTTTTATTCTCAAAGTAATCTGTGAGGTAGGTTGTATCTTAAGATTACATAGGGCTGGCACTGCGGCTCACTAGGCTAATCCTCCACCTGCGGCACCGGCACCACGGGTCCTAGTCCCGGTCGGGGCACTGGATTCTGTCCCAGTTTCTCCTCTTCCAGTCCAGCTCTCTGCTGTGGCCCAGGAAGGCAGTGGAGGATGGCCCAAATCTTGGGCCCTGCACCTACATGGGAGACCAGGAGGAAGCACCTGGCTCCTGGCTTCAGATCAGTGCAGTACTCCGACTGCAGCAGTGAACCAACGGAAAAGGAAGACCTTTCATCTCCCTCTCTCTCACTGTCCACTCTGCCTGTCAAAAAAAAAAAAAAGATTACAGAGGAGGCCAGCGCCGTGGCTTATTCAGTTAATCCTCTGCCTGTGGCACCGGTATCCCATATGGGCGCCGGGTTCTAGTCCCAGCTGCTCCTCTTCCAGGCCAGCTCTCTGCTATGGCCCGGGTGCTTGGGCCCCTGTACCCGCATGGGAGACCAGGAGGAAGCACCTGGCTCCTGGCTTTGGATCGGAGTAGTTCCAGCTGTAGTGGCCATTCGGGGGGAAGACCTTTCTCTCTCTCTCTCTCTGTCTCTCTCTCACTGTCTAACTCCGTCAAAAAAAAAAAAAAAAAGATTACAAAGGAGATGAGAGAATTTTAGATAAGGAGGCTGTGAATTGCAGGCTCTTCGCTCATCATTCATTCATTCATCGTCTGCTTTCTGAAAGTCTGTTTAGACATCAGAACTTGGGCAGAACTTGAATCTGTGAAAGTATGAGATTGAAAACAGTCCATAGCTGTACATGCTCTACTTGCTCTTCGGTTACAGTATTGCTTACACGATAAGCACTTGCACATATTATTTTATTTGATAACAGTCATCTTTAAGATCACTATTCTTCATGTTGTATATGTACAAATAGGATTAAAGAGGGTAAAAAGATTTTTTTTCTCTCCAAGTTTAAATACTTAGTGCTGTCAGATTTAGCTTCCAGATTTGTTCTCTAAGTTTCTTAACTCAGCCTGCCTCTGACAGCCACTTTGATGCCGTTTTGAAAACCGTCATCTGTTCAGCTCTGGATGTGTTCTTGGAGCCTGCCTGAGGAAGTGCTCTTCCTTGGCTCTGCACGTCTTAGGAGGAACCTGATGCCCAACAATCAGCTCCTGCATACATACTTTAGATTTGCATCACTTGTTTTATAGGTTTGGTCACCTGAAACGCTTTGTTTAGCAATGCAAGTGACAGAAAAAGCACACCTTTCAAGAAATCGGTAAAATCCAGTCATCAACCAGATGTTTTGTAGGCTTTTAAAGATTTGCTTTACATCAGCTTCTTTTTCATGCAGTTTTAATAATTTTTCAAAATTACTTCAGAATTATATTTCTAATCAGGTTGTAATAATTATCTTGGTTGTTAAATTTTGTGTTTACCAGAGGAAGTATTTCAGGTTGGAAAAAGCTAATGTATTATGGATTTCTGGGTGTGTTTGTGTTAGTTATATGTATGAGAAAGAATGGGAAACTAAGGAGAAATGTCATAAAATAGAGAAGAGCAGAGAGACTGATACAAATTTCCTTTAGTTCATCTAAGGATGACTGTCATTCCAGGATAACCAGTTAGGGGTCCATGGCTTCATTTTATCATTCTGTCCTTTTATTTTTGTCATACTTGATGGTTGGTTGGTTTGTTTTTTAAGATTTATTTATTTGACAGAGTTAGAGAGAGAGGAAGAGACAGAGAAAAGTCTTCCATCTGCTAGTTCAGTCCCCAAATGGCCACAATGACTGAAGCTGGGCCAATCAGAAGCCAGGAGCCAGGAGCTTCTTCCAGGTCTCCCAAGCAGGTGCAGGGGCCCAAGTACTTGGGCCATCTTGTACTGCTTTCCCAGGCCATAGCCAGAGCAGGACTCGAAGAAGAGCAGCCAGGACACGAACTAGTTCCCATATGGGATGCTGGCACCACAGCTGGAGGCTTAGCCCCTGTACTTTGTTTTATAAAGTTATAGTATAATATTGTAACCTACCAAACAATTTAATTTAGTATAAGGTCTTAAAAAATTTACAACTAACCATTCATAACATGCACCAACATTTCTTTTGCTTGTTTTTGATTTAGGGCATTTTGACTATTTCCTTTATTTTCAGTTAATTTTTGCTATCATTAATGGTGCTATAGGGAAGAATTGCTTTTTCCTTATTCTTTTTTTACATCTCATTATGTGCTTAGAATTGACTGAAAAGATGAAATTTATGGATTTAACAAGATTACGTCAGGAATTTTATATGGATTGCCAGATTTAAACATTGTAACTGTCTTAAATTTGTATTTGTAGTATAATTTATCAACTTCATTTTGTTTTCAAGAGTATGAAGATGGTGATCTGTCATCGTGGATCAACCGGGAGAGGTTTCAGAATTACCTTACTGTGGATGGCTTCCTTTTGTATGAACTTGGAGATACAGGTACCCTGCGTTTATGCCATTCTCCATCTACGCTACTGAAATTATCTTTAATGGGTTATGCAAGTATTTTGTAGGAAACTCTTTATAAGTGCTTTTATAATTTTAATTCCTTCTTTTAACCCTTGTTTCTGAGATTATAGACAGATATTACCAAGTAGTCTACTTTTAAATGTCACTCAAAGATTAGCTAAAGTTTTCCCAGTAGAAGTGATGGTGATGAGGGAAAACAAGAGCCTGTGTAATGAGGAAATGAGAAAAAACAACCAACCAAGAAGCTACACTGAGGATTTTCTAAGAACGATGAATGTAAATCTCACAACAAACTTACATAGCCTGCTTCTATTTGTGAGGGGGATGTTACTTATATTGGCATAGTGTCTTGATGTAATGACAGGCAAAGCAAATATATGTTGGAATACAAAACCAAAAGACGTAAGCTAATTAGGGGTGGGCATTGTATCACAGCTGGGTAAGCAGCTACGTGGGATGCCCACATCCCATATCTTAGTTCAAGTATCAGCACCACGCTTCTGATCCAGCTTCCTGCTGATGCATCCCGGTGACAGCATATGTTTGGCTCAAGTACTTGGCCCCTGCCAGCTATAAGGGAAACTTGGGCGGAGTTCTGTGCTCCTGGCTTTAGTCAGGTCCAGCCCTGGCTGTTGGAGAGTGAACCAGAGGATGGAACATAGATCACTCTTTCTCTCCCTCTTCTTTCTCTCTCTTGCTCTCAGTTTCTGTCACTCTGCCTCTCAAGTAGATGAAAATGAATAAACCTTAAGAAAAAAAAAAAAAACTAATTAGATGGTCTTGTAGATGCAAACTACAAAAATTAAAGCAAACTGATTCTTATTTATTTATTTGAAAGACAGAGCTCTCCTATTTGCTGATTCAGTTCCCCAAATGCCCACAACAGCAGGGTCGGGTCAGGGGAACGTTGGGAGCCTGTAATTCAGTTTGAGTTTTCCGTATGGATGGTGAGTGTCCAGCTGCCTGCTGCCTTTGGAGATGCACGTGAGGAACCTGGATTGCAGAGCTGAGCCAGGAATTGAATAGTGGGCACTCCCAGGTAGCAGCTCAGCTGCTGCACCAAATACTTAGCTCAGAAGCTAAATTTTAGGAGGGAATGTTGTATAAATTTATAACATTGGAACTCATGGCTATTGGCACCCAAGTAATATGTGGTAAAATAAGTAAAAGTGTGGTTTTAGAGTAAGGCAATAGGGTCATTACATGGGTATTTGACATTTCTAGCACTAGAATCTGAGTCACAATACAAAGTAGGAGTATTCTACACATTATACTGTTTGTAATTATTTTTTAGTGTGGTATTTGTTCTAGTTCCTGAGCCTGCTGTTAATGGTCTGGGTCTGGTGATGTTTCTGTTTTTGCTTATTCTTATGCAGGGAGCTACGTACCATAATATGTTGATTTAATAAAATTTAACATGTGCAAGGTAATTGGAATTAAATTCTGAGGCCTTTTTGTTTACCAATTCCTATTCACAATTAAAATGACAGTTGAGAAGTTTGGGTAATGAAGCTTATTGAATTGACATGTCACTCTTAATTTCAGGAAAGCTCGTGGCTATTGCAGTTATCGATGAGAAAAATACATCACTTGAGCATACCAGGTATTAGTGCCTTGCAATACTTTAATTCAAACATCATCCAGTGCTCACTTCATATGGCTTTAGAAAGACTTTTCCTGAGGCTTTTATATAAAGTCACAGGTGCTATAATTGAACAATTACATGTTTTCAAGTGAAGTACTGAAATAATTCACGTTTGTTCTACCACAGATTAAAGTCAATTATTCAGGAAGTTGCTAGAGATTACAGAGACCACTTCCATAGGTATGTGCTTGCATTCTGGAAGATTCCTCTGTTTTCGCTTAGTTATGTTTTATAATGAGGTAAAGCAAAATCATAGTAGTGTTTCATATTTTCAGAGCTGAATCGAGGAACTGAAGTAAGCTGTGATTTGTATCATACTTCTTCCTGATAAATATTTTTAGATAAATTTTATGGAAAGCAGATAATACAAAAGTGTATATTCATAAGTTTGAGATGAAGTTAAATGAGCAAAGATCAGAAATGGAACTCAATAACTGAAGATGAAAAGGCATCAGAAGTTAGTATAATACTTTTGTTCTGTGCTATAACATTCTTTGTTGCTTCCATAAAAGATTATTAATATGAATTTTCTATGTGAATAATTTATTTCCTCTTACGCTGAATCTTGTGTTGATTGATCCATGTATAGTTTTTAGGTTACATAGTATATTTTGTTTTCTAATTAGTTTTTTTCCTTGAGTAAATAGATAACTTTTCTTATGCAGAGCTTGAAATGGTTTTACTTCTATACATTTTAAACATACATAAGCAATGTAAAAATGTTTGCTTTATTTTACTTACGTGTATTTGTATATCATAAGCTCATGGAATTTGTACACTTTTCTATATTTATTGTATGTTATTTATATATTAAATATTTATTTATGTGCTTGCCAGACCAAGTTTCAGTAGCTTGATTTGTTGTCTTGTTTGTTTTTGTATTTAACTCTTCTGTTTTGCTTTTTTCATTTCTCCCGTCCCCTCCTGCTTGGCTGTGTTTGGTTAGGGATTTTCAGTTCGGCCACATGGATGGAAACGACTATATAAATACCCTGCTGATGGAGTGAGTAATGTGCTGCATGGTTTTGCTTTCGAGTCTGTCAGTTTTTAAATTCCTGTTTCTCAGAAACAAGCAGAAGGGTTAAATAGCCAGTAAAAGCTAACAGATGATGTATATTGATGCTTATACTGCATCATTAAATATTTTACTCTATCTTTGTAGGAGAGTAGATCCTAAACTTGAACTTTCAGCTCTGTAATAGGTTGTTAGTGGAGTTTGTTGATTTTTTTAATAGTTATTCCACAGAAAGTCATGCACCTTTCTAATAAATGGGAGTGTAAGCCACTGAGGATGCCCTTAAATACCGTCTTGAATGCATGCTGTCTGCGTATCGACAACAGAAAAATACTTCTGGTTGATGGGTATTCCTGTCAGGCTCCATTTTAATACTAGTAAACTTCTCTTAATTTTTTCTCTTTCTACCACTGGATCCTGAAGTTTTTTGATCTGCTCTTCCTTACCCAAACAAGATTGATTAAATTCATGGATATGTTTCCATTGGGGTAAAGATTATGTATGATTTGGAAAAAGAATTTGTTTTTAAATTTTATATTTGAAACTTACTGAACTTTAATATTACCCTGTACTAAGAAATAATTATTTCCTTACTTAGTGTTATAATTTATAGTATTCTGCAAAGAATGTGTCATTTGAAAATGTTAAATTTTGTACCTTCTGCTTAATATATACCTTAAGAAGTTCCATTTTAATGGGTAGATATAACTTTTAATAGATTAAAATAAAATAACTTTATAGGAAAAACATGCAATTGTAAATAATTTAATATTTTTAAAGATTTATTTATTTACTTGAAAGAGTTACATTGAGGGAGAAGGAGAAGCAGAGAGAGAGGTCTTCCATCCACTGGTTCACTCCCCAATTGGCTGCAACGGCAGGAGCTGTGCCGATCTGAAGGATCTGAAGCCAGGAGCGTCCTCTGGGTCTCCCACGTATGCAGGCACCCAAGGACTTGGGCCATTTTCTACTGCTTTCCCAGGCCATAGCGGAGAGCTGGATTGGAAGTGGAGCAGCCAAGATTTGAACCAGCGCCTATATGGGATGCTGGCACTGCAGGTGGTGGCTTTACCTGCCACGCCACAGCTCCCAGCCCCATTATTTTTATTATTTAAATATCCAGTTTATCACTTAAGAAAAATACTATTAGTAAACATTTGCCACAGGACCCACATTATGGCACAACAAGTTAAGCCAGTGCCTACAATGCCGCCATCCCATATGCGCGCCAGTTTGAGTCCCACGTGAGAGACAGGAATTCCAGGCTCCTGGTTTCGGTATGGCCCAGCCCTGGCTGTTGCAACCATTTGAGGAATGGATGGAAGATCTATTTCTCTCTGTGGCTCTGCCTTTCAAACAAATGAATCTTAAAAGGAAATGAAAACTTTCACCACATCTTTAGTGAAATTTTTCCAGCAGACATTTAGTGAGTATTCACTGTGTTGATATAAAAAATGGATAAATGAGAATGTCCATCTTAAAATGCTTATATTCCATGGGCTTCCAGAATTGTGTGGGGAAGTATATCTAGTTCATGGCTCTGGAACATAGAGATGCTCTTTGACCACCAAGCATGCTGAGGTGGGTGGAGTCAGACAACCTTCTCTGGAGTAGGCAGGCATTGAGAGAACTCTCTTACCCACCCTGAGTGAAAAGTGGTATGCAGAACAAGCTTAACACTGCCAATGTCCTGCCACTTTAAGAGGAAACCCTTGATTTGAACACAAGCACAGTGACTCCAGAGACTGTGACTTCTCTAATTACCTTTGTACACTTAACTGCACTGGGGTTACAGATAATTACAGATGGTCAGCACAGTGATGACATTCAATGTAAATAAATTTGTGACAAGGGATACTAGTGCCAAGAAATTGCTACTTCCCATGTCACAGTTTTTAGCCTTAAGTTTAATCACAGTTGCTCAGCTGTGTTTATTAATGTTTTCTTGTAATCTTGATTTAGCTAATTTTAAAATCAATGCAGAATTTGGAATATTCTTCCTGTGGGTAAAGGGGAGGCAAAGCTGTAATATCTATAGCTTCTTTATTCTATAATTATACCTACAGAGATGTAAATAAATACCAAAATATTTGTTATCACTTTGTTTAATGTAGACCTTGGTTTTGCTTTTATATTTTCAGTGAATTGGCAGTGCCAACCGTGGTTGTACTGAATACTTCAAACCAGCAATACTTTTTGCTAGACAGACAGATTAAGGATACCAAAGACATGGTCCAATTCATTAATAACATTCTGGATGGCACAGTAGAGGTAAGTTGTTCACTGCCATTGCAGAGGGATGGTGGGAAGGAAGTAGAGGAAAACTGTAGTTCAACTCTACTTCAGAACCTGAAAGAATTACTGGAGCATGGGTTTTGTACCTTGTCTTTCTCCTGTTAGAGGCTGTGTTGCCTTCTCCCAGATGTAAAAGGTTCTTCATGGCAGAGGTTGCTGGTGGGTGGAGATGTCCTGTTGAGGAGTTTTTTGAAGGGTGTTTCTGTTTGTCACAGTGATGAGAGGATCCTACTTAGGGTGGATGCTAAGAAGCCTGCGTTGTGTGAGACAATTCCAGGAGTAAACTTTATTTGCTCTTAAAACATTTCTGGGTCCAAAAGTATAATTCGATTAAATTAAGATTGCTTTTCTAAAAAAATCTGCAAACAAAATCACATATCACAATTTCTTAAGAGATAAGGAAATGTATTGACAATCAGAGCCCCAGTGGAGAGTTCCCAATATAATCCCATAACAATACTACTCATTGATTGAATGAGTAATCTTAATTTTCTATTTTTTTTCCTATAAATCTTGCAACACTGTTTTTCAAACTGAGTTTCAGCCCATATTAGAGGGTCAAGGTATTGCCTCAGGTCACAACCAGATTGTTACAAGTGCTCATCTTAATAAACTAAAATAAGAAACTTCATTGCTTTCACAAAGCGAAATTATTTTATGTCTGCTTCAGCCTTATACAAACTTGATTTGAAAGTTGGCTCACAGAATAATATCAAGCACATTTACTTGGGGTCAAAGTCAGGAAGTCTGAAAAGTAATCATATAGTAGGAATTTTATATTTATGAAAGTAAGATTTTGGTTGAAATGAACCTGATCTGTATGAGGGAAAATCTACTGGTAACTTAGAATGTTTGGCAACAAGAGGTCATCTTATTGGCTTAGCAATTCAAGGAATAATTTGGACTTCACAATTAGCTGAATTTAGGGATTTGGTTGATTTTCGTCAGGAGTTTTCTCTCTCTGCCCCTCAGTGCTTTTTTGTTGAGCTTTGTGCTCAGGCAGACTCTCCCTACACCCAGCAAAGGTTTCCTGCAGCAGCTGTGGCTTTGCAGCTTTGGCTGAGCAGTATTTGCTGGCAGCGCTACCATGACGTGGTGGGGGTGGGGGAACTGCAGTCCAGCTTTGAGGATGATGAATTGGAGATGATGGATACTTCAGAGGGGACTGAGGTGCCTTAACATGCAAGGCAGAAGGAATCACTGCACAGCTCTTCCAGGGGACTCTTCCAGGTCCTATTTTGTAGTCAACACTTTGACCGAGACTGATAATATATTGCAAACCTTAGAAAATTGATGTATTATTTAAGTAACAGCTTTTTTCCCTGTTAAATTGAAGGCCCAAGGAGGTGATAGCATTTTCCAGAGATTGAAGAGAATAGTATTTGATGCCAAATCTACCATAGTGGTGAGTTCTATTTAATGTCCATTGGTCATTAAGAATGTATAGGATTCATTATGTTTAACAAAGGATTAGGTTAAATAGATCTTTCTGATTTATAAGATATGAACTAGTTAGTATTTCCATTAGAAAAATTTATTCATCAGGTGGAAATAAAGTTTCCCTATTCATTTCTATATGATTTGTGAGTTAACTGAAACTAGAATCAAGTAATTTGGTAGTATGACTTAAAAGATTTTATTTCTTCAACCTACAGTGTAAATTTTACCTAATTTCTGTGATTTGATGAATGTGTAGATAATGTGAAAATTTTAATTCCTTTAAGTGCTGTCTTCTGTGAATTGGTCATTTTTATTGAAGAAAATAGTGTCTTGGGAAGTCAATCTGTTTTCTTTTATAGTAGTCAAAGTGAATTTTAGATCTTAAAGTTTAAATATGCCATTAATTCTGTACTTTCCCCAATTGGCAACTAAAGGGTCATTTATAGATGTTCTTCCTCTCTTCCTCCTTCTCTTTTTTTTTTTTTTTCTTTTTCTGTCCTACCTTGTTTCTTTAATGGAGAATTACAGTGTGACAAAGGGCGTGCATTTAGACTGTTGTTAAGGTGCTCAGTGTATGCCTGACCATGCTGAGCTTTGAGGGAGGGAAGCAGCAGCCACAGGAGAACTCTGACTTTTTGCCTGTCCTGCCTTTCGCTCTCTGTGAAATGAATAATTTTTAAAAATATGAGCAAAGTCCTTTCCAACAATGGTTTCTTGATTTGTCCATCCTAACATTTATTCATAACTATTGTTCCATGTAAATATAATGCCAAAATATGTCTCATCGCTGCTGTCAAATTCACCTAACTTTCCTGCTTTCTCTGGCCTCATCTCAATGTATTCTGTACCACTACATGATTATTATTACCGAGATAATCAGTTTTGGCCACTTTTTTCCCCTTTTCCAGTGATGCACACCACATACCATGTCCATCTACATACAATACTTTCCTCTTTGGTTTTTGAATATGGCTCAGTCTTTCCTGGGAGTCATTGCCAGTGTTTACATTGTGCCTCACTCTGCCTCGTTCTTACTCATCCTTAAATTTCCACTCCAGACTATAACTTTATTCTGTGACGCTTTCTTCTATCTCAATCCAAATTGATCTTTCTCTTTCTCAACTTGTCTGTGTTTGTCTCAGGAGTCAGAGGGACAATCCATCAAATAGTATTACTATTGAAAACCCATTAAGTAAAATTACCTTTACTTTTCTGGGAGCTAGGAATATAGTAAATAAGATGAGGAAAATTAACAAGTTAATGATGCCTTAACACTAACCAGATGAGTAAAAAACGTTAAATATGTCATGTGAAGAGAGTATGTGCAAACCTTCTTTATGGAAAATGACTGGAGTTTTCATAAAAAACCCCAAGACTATTGGCACCCTGTAACCATCTTAAAGAGACTTTGTGGTTGTTGTGAGAAAAATCAGTGTCTAGAGAAAAGGTTGTAGAACATACGGTCCCTTTTCCCACTGCCAATAATAACTGGTTCTCTTTGCATGCTGGCAAATAGAATTTGTCTTTCCTACAGTATCTTTAACATGATAGTGCTGAAATACTGTTAGGAACCATTGGAACTAAAACTTGAATATCGACTAGGGAAAGAGAACTAGAATGCTGTTAAATTCACTGCATGCTTTTTGTGTCAGAACTCCATCTGAGAGGGACTGCATTTCAATCATTTCTCCACAGTCTATATTCAAGAGCTCCCCGCTCATGGGCTGCTTCCTCTTTGGCCTGCCGCTGGGTGTCATCAGTATCATGTGCTACGGGATCTACACAGCGGACACTGATGGGGGTTACGTGGAGGAACGATATGAAATATCGAAAAGTGAAGATGAAAGCCAAGAACAGATAGAAGAAAACAAAGAACAGCAGGAGCCAAGCAGTGGAGGCTCTTTAGTGCCTACTGAGCAAGAGCCCAAGGATGTGTTAGAAAAGAAGAAAGATTGAGACTTTCCTAGTGTACAATATTTGATGGTGTTTCAGATCATTAAAGAGTCTATTTATTGAATTTAGACATTTAATCAATCATGATCTTTACAGAAGAAAACATGTTCTTTGTATTTTGCTAATATCAGCTGCATGGGTTAAGTAGTCCATTCATAAATGGGGAGATGTTTGGAGCAAAGAAATGAATGGTTTGTGTAAAAGAAACAGAATCACATCACTCCGTCAGATTTATGTTATAGCTGTTACTACAAAGCATCAGTTGTGTTTGCATGTTTCTCTATCTGAATATTCTGTGACTAAAGTTCTTGGACAGAGGATGCAATTGGCCAGTCAGGTAGAAGATACATGTTTGATAATACCTCTGCCTCCTACAATCCTTTCCCCTTCTATATTTTGGATAAGATTTGTATGTACAAAATAGTCTTTAAAAATCTAGGCACTTTAAGGAAAACTAATAACTTTTTCTGAATTTCAAATTAAGATTATGAGGATAAAAATAATGTGGTTTTATATAATATAGTAATTTTATTTTGTTGTTATTTTTAAAGGAGAGGAAATGTTACTTTTTAACTTTGTAGTCACTTACAAAATTTTCATATGGGCATATATAGTGGGCAAAAATAATGTGATCGCCTTTGCAAAGTAAGCAGGATTCTCTGGGAGCAGTGGTTTCAGCCATGCCCTGAAAAACTGAACAGGTATCTCATCCGTCATCACAGGAAGGGAAGGGTGTCTGTTAATCCTACCCTGCCTTTTAGCCATGACAGACTAGTGTTTTTATTTTGAGTCACTTTTATTTTATATATTAAGATTTCTTCTAATATTTTCTTTGATAAAAATCTGATGCTATTCAAAAAGTAATATATATCAAATTTTTATGTTTATGGTATATAAACTTTATTGTAACTTATAGTCCAAAATATGTATGTGTGTATACGTGAAATTTCTTGATACCCATTTATCATGTAATGCCATGTTCTTGATGAGGAGCGTGCCAGATACCTCCATTCTCACTTCTGTCACTCTCTTCAGTCAGTGACCTCATCTTCTGTCATTAATGAGATAATATGACAGTTCTGTCCCAAACAATGACTAACAATTGATATTGTTTAAATCACAGTTTGATATGCTTATTATAGAGTGTTTTGTTATTTTTGAAGCCTTTGTTCTAAGTTTAGAATTTTTATTAGAGAACTATTATTTGGTTATTCATTGAATAATCATTATAAAGGATTCTGCTAAACATTTAAAGATACGTAATTTATGATCCTGACACTGAAGTTGTTTGTGGCTTTGGTTACCATGGGCTACCTTTGCTTGTTTCTGATGCCATCTGATGAGAACTAAACTGAAACTTCTGTATATTAAGGACACAGAAGTACTAGTTATTGTTGTGTCCATGTGTTCTTTCATTGTTTAATAACTAAATAGCCTTTCTTAATGTTTGGTACCCCATTATCATTTTATTTTCATTGATGAAGCAAGTTTGCAGTCACAAGGAATTTTAGGAACTATTAGAATGAAATGCTCTTAAATGGGAACTAGAGATACTAATTTAGCAAGTAGATTCCTTTTCAAAGGGTAATAAATGGTTCTTTGGGAAGATAAATGTTAATGCTTCAAATTGTCAAGCTTGTTTTGCAGTAGTGAAAAACTTAGTACAGAAGTCTCATTGGAGACTCAGCTGTAAGCAGGTGAACACTTAACAATGACTTGAGCACATAGTGCATTGATTTTTTTAAATTGATTTTAATATTAAAATGTTATTTCTCTGCATAGATTTTTGTAGTCATCACCTGTAATTGCTGGAAAAAAATAAAATGAATTAAGCGCAGTGTATATCAGCAAATGAACAACCAGTGGTCTTTGTATTCTGTGTTGCTGGTCTTCGTAAGTGACTGCCTTAGTTCTGTCACACATTTCACAGCTCTGCTGTTGCCTCATTGTTGAGGGGGTTTTAACATGTGTGGTGGGGAGAATTGTATATGTTGTTTGTAAGTGACTAGTGTTATTTCTGCTTGTATTAAAATTTAGATTTTGCTTGTTTCTGTTTGGGAATATTTTTGCTTACATTGTCAGAGTGCTCAGAAAACAGATTCAGAAATTTCTCTGTTATGCTTTTCTCTTCAATCAGCTATAATACTAGACATTTACCATGGATGCTACTTCCTTTGCAGGAAAAAGTACTTCAAAATGAAGGCAAATCTTTTAATAATAATCTAGTAGAAGAGTATCAATAGTGTTATAATTCAGTGGTAAATCTTATCAAAACTGCATATATGAGTAATGCCATCACTTTGGAATCTGGAATTTTTGCCATTTTGGTTGCAATGAAGTTCCATTTCTAACTTTAAAATTCAGAATTCTGGGCCCTTGCTGTTGGTGATTCTGGTGCTCATATAATATTTAAGGGTATTTCAAAGAGAAAGTGCATTTTTTCCCAAGTACTCTGTACCCATTACACCTTGCAGTCTTTTTGTTTCATTGTATAAATAAATATTCTGTAGCTATTGTTATCCAAAACATGTTTGAGGTATATTATACCTGGAATTTTCGTTTTTCTCCTCACACGTAGTATTTCACAGTATCTGGTATAGAATTAACAAAGATGCCAAATGTGTAGAGTTTGAAGGAAAGAGGAGGATAACATCTAGCTGTGCTGCTTTTGTTTACTAGACTTAGTTGTTAATAATATTTCTTGTATTTTGTTTGGGGGCTCTTTTTTGGTTTTGGTTTTGGAAAAGGTAAATTTTCATCATTGAATCATGACATGGAGGTAAGACTGAGGGGAAGGGGAACTGCTCAGCTGTTCTTACACTGAAATTGTTATATAAGCCAACGTGAGATGTTAAAGACTGTCACGTAATTGGTGGGATTAAGTTTACTGTTTTATTTTTATAAATATATATTTTTTTCTGAATGTGTCTGAGTCCAAGAGTGGGCAAAAAATTAATTTTCTACTTCAGGTTAATCTATAAAGATTTTGAAAGTCTGTATTACTAACTTGTTGAATTCATGACACCACTTGTAAATCTTTGTTTTTCTAAAATAAAGTTATTGAAAACATGATTTTTGTACTGTGTATTATTTGGTTTGTAATGTGAATATTTGTGCAAGCTAAGACTGATCTTCCACAAAACATTTCTTCCTTTCATTAAACTTTTTTTTTTTTTTTTTGACAGGCCGAATGGACAGTGAGAGAGAGAGAGAGAGAGAAAGGTCTTCCTTTGCCGTTGGTTCACCCTCCAATGGCCACCACGGCTGGCGCATTGTGCTGATCCGAAGCCAGGAGCCAGGTGCTTCTCCTGGTCTCCCATGGGGTGCAGGGCCCTAGCACTTGGGCCATCCTCCACTGCACTCCCTGGCCACAGCAGAGAGCTGGACTGGAAGAGGGGAAACCAGGACAGAATCCGGCGCCCCGACCGGGACTAGAACCCGGTGTGGCAGTGTCGGCCCTTTTCATTAAACTTTGAAGATGTATACTTACACAAACAGAACTTTGAGTTTAGACGTACTCGAGAGAGAGACCAGATTGTAGTCTAAGCCTTTTATAGATGAAAAACCATAGGTTTGATACATTTTGTATTTCTGATCTAGTAAATTTTTTAGTACTCATTTTTCGAAAAGTTTTACTTTTCGCAACTTACAGAATGTAGAGTATTTGGATTTTTTAAAAAGATTTATTTATTTTGACAGAGAAGGGAAAAGAGATCTTCCATCTGCCGATTCACTTCCCAGAAGGCAGTAGCCAGGAGCTTCTGGGTCTCCTACGTGGGCGACTGGCCCAGATACTTGGGCCATCTTCTACTTTCCCAGGCCTTTAGCGGGGAGCTGGATCAAAAGTGGAGCAGCCTTAGCTGGCGCCGCGGCTCACTAGGCTAATCCTCCGCCTTGCGGCGCCGGCACCCCGGGTTCTAGTCCCGGTCGGGGTGCTGGATTCTGTCCCAGTGGCCCCTCTTCCAGGCCAGCTCTCTGCTGTGGCCAGGGAGTGCAGTGGAGGATGGGCCAAGTACTTGGGCCCTGCACCCCATGGGAGACCAGGAGAAGCACCTGGCTCCTGCCATCAGATCATCAGGTGCGCCGGCCCCAGCGCGACGGCCGTGGCAGCCATTGGAGGGTGAACCAACGGCAAAGGAAGACCTTTCTCTCTGTCTCTCTCACTGTCCACTCTGCCTGTCCAAAAAAAAAAAAAAGTGGAGCAGCCTGGATGTGAACCAGATGTCCATATGGGATGGTGGCATCGAAGGCAGAGGCTTTACATGCTACTCCCTGGTGCCAGCTCCAGAATATTTGAATCTTTAACTGCTAACTGGATACAACACAACATTCTCCTCATTTTGTTACCTATGTGGGTATTTAAATCCTTGGAGTCTTTTGCTGTAGTTAATTTTAGAGAGACTTCCCATCTGCTGGTTCACTCCCTAAATTCCCTCAACAGTCAGGACTGGGCTGGGGTAGAGTTAGGAGTGGAATCCAGATCTGTGGATGGCAGGAATCCAGTTATTTGAGGGATGAACTACTACCTTGCAAGGTCTGGATTAGGATCCAGAGCCAGGTATCAAACCCAGGTACTGAAGTTTGGGATGCAGGCATCTTAACTGCTAGACTGAATGCCAGTGCCATATTTTGTACTGTTTTGTTTTAAAATCGAGTATTTCTTTTTTTGTGTTTTATTCCAAGGGCATGTCTTTTAGAGAGGATGACTGACACGGGATAACTGCCCAATAGTGGACTGGTGAAGTTGTGAACTTGCTCTGATGAACCAGATGGATGGACCTCTTCGGAAAGGGACAAAGTGCTTTCAGGTGTTTATAAAATCCTGAGGAGGGAGGGTGACAGGCACCCCCATGCCTGCCAGGTTGCTGCATTTTACCATTGTTGGGGGGACTTGCATTCAGGTGTCTAAAATCCCGAGGAGAGTGACAGGCACTCCCATGTCAGCCAGGTAGCTGCGTTTTACTGTTGCCCCCTGCTGTCAACACTGCCTGGGTGCAGATCCCATCCATCACCTGTGTGAAGGTGAGTCAGCCACCTAGGCTTCCTGTTCCGCGTTGTCTGTAATTTGGAATAATGGCATTTGTCTCACTATGTTATGAAGATTAAATGAGTTACATGGGCGACATATTGAGAAGTGGTGCATTGTCATAGCTCAGAGATTAATAGACATTTATCATACTTCAGTAAGTTTGAATTGTGGTTACTATTTGCAATTTAAGTTCTAGTATTTTGGAAGGAAATGGAAAAAAATGTTGATTACAAATACTTAGTTTCAGACATCTGAAAATCCTCTGACTTTTGTGCTTTGAAAATGAAAAAAGATAAGTGGATATCTGCTGGGATAATTGATGCATCTGGAGAGTTTGATAGCTTATAATTTAGATTTAGAACATTAATGGAAAATTTCCTTAAGTGGGAAAATCATTTCATTTTCTGCATGTACATCTTAGTAGTCAAGCTCTGAACTTTTCTCTAAGCCCATCTTCTATGAACTCAAATGGTGTTTTAATTAGAAAGTGGCAAACTTTTGTGATTTATTTTAACAAATATTTAATATCTTTATACTACCTAGGATGCAGCAGTAATCAATTTTTATTTTAAACAGTTGCAAGTTTTGTATTTTTGTTAAGTCTCTCTCTTCATGCAGTCCATTTGACATGAAAGCATAGCCGTTATACCTTGAGACTCAGAGGTAATGACCAGGGTAAAGCAGAAAAACGCACCAGCTTTCTCCACATGCAAAGGGTCGGGTTTCTCATCTAGTCTGCAGTGGGGCAGTGCATGCGTGGAGGTATCAGGGAAATCAGATGCGGGAAATGCTCAATGCAAGGAAGGTGCAGAGAAGGAATGGGTGCTGGAGGTTCAGAGCCTTCACACAGAAAATGCTTGAACATCCTCTAGACATCCCTCTGGTATGGTTCCTCAAGATTCTGTCGTAAATGAAGGCGCTGAAGTCAGCTGCTATGCCCGTGAAAGCACAGTAGTCTTTTGTCTTACAACAGAAAGATCCAAAAAATTTCAGCCAACTCTAATACACTTAACTTTACCTGGAGGAGAGATGGTCCAGCGAAACAGAATTTGTTAGAGAAACACTATTTCTCCACTCAGATTTTTCCCATGAATCTTTGCATTGTTGTCTTCACATTGATTTATGTAGCATTTCCTTCCACGAGGGTTTTTTGATTGCAAGTTTGATATTATGGGGACATTCTATTCTAAATCGTAAGAACCTTGTCAGAAAAGCAGTAAGTGATTAGATCTTAATGACTTCTACATTTAATAGTTAAAGTTGGGTGGTTGTACACATAGAAATACCTGTGAAACCAGTAAGTCTGTTCGATTCCTTTGTCTCTTTTTAAATGAGTGATCATCAGAGGACATTTATAAACATTCTGAAGTGGTTTTAAGAAATTTTTAAGGTAATGCTTCTCCAAACAGCGGATTACTATTCTAAATTATGTAATTGAGTGACTTAAAGATCTGATATATTTTCATAAGATCTTAAATACAAAGTGACTTCCTTTTATTCAAGAGACCATTTTGGAGAGTCAGTTCACAAAATGTATCTTACATTTGGACATTGGTTAATGCTCATTTTTCATTGAATACTAATTTAGTAATTTTAAATTTCTAAGATTGTCATATAAACGTTGCATTTCATTGGAGTTACACACTATTTCAGATATTTGGGAGGCAGAGGGACAGACACACAAAAAGAACTGTCATCTACAGGTTCAGTCTCCAAAAGCACAAAGGGTTGGGCAGGGAGCCGGGAACACTCCAAGTCTCCCATGTGGGCGGCAGAGACGCATCTACTTGAGTTACCACCTGCTGCCTGCCATAGTGTGCTGTATCAGGAAGCTGGAATCTGGAGTAGAACCAGATGTCAGACAGGCACTAAGGTTTGGGATGCAGATATCCCAGCCAATCTTCAGGCCAAACACCTGCCCTGTGGATGCACACAATATTAAAGAGAACCAATTTGTAGAAGATCCCAGTCCCACCAACTTTGGCTATTCAGTTTTCAGAAATTTTAATTAAAAAGATGTCTTTTGACAGTTGTATGTTTGGGCAATAACTAAAGTATATTTCTGCTATGTTAAGACATTAAATTTGAGGAGGAGCATAACTCCACCTTCAACAATATAATTTGTGCCTTGTTGACTGCATTTCCCAGCAGCTTTTTTTATATTTTCAGAAACTTCCTATTTAAAAGCACAAGTGTTGAACACTTACTTTTCACTTCAGAAATAATAGCCTACTTAGTGAATCCTGAAAAAACTACAGTAGAAATAAAAATGGTCAATAAAATTTAAATATAATTTAATATAATTTGTTAAATGCATGATCCATACTTTCTAAACTTTTACTGATTACTCAGAAGAGTCATAAGTCTTCTAAATATATTAATGGGGAAGGCTTCTTGTATTAATTTAAAATCTTTATTTAGTCATTGAAAATAACATATTTTGATGTCAGCTACTCTGGAAACATTTACATTACCAAATAATCATTGCTTTCTCAGATTCCATGAAAAAATGAATAATTATATTATTTGAAAGTGTCAGTCTTAAAGTGTCTTTGTATATTTTAAGTATTCTATTTTAAGTTCCTAGTACCTATCCAAATTACACAAGCATCACTTTATCTCCCTCTCTCCCTTCCTTTCTCTTTCTTTTAATATAAATATCACAGGTGTAACGTAGTTCATAGGTAAAAATCTAAGAATATAATGATAATCTGTAAACATACATGAGCCTTAGAGCATCATTTTTGTTGGTCTTAGATGCACTTGTGCTAAAAGCCAGGACAGAGGAAGAAACCTTCCGTTGGTTTTGATGGGCATTTCAAGTTGTGAACTAATGGCTTAGAGGATTATTAGGAAGGATAGCCATGTCAGTGCCTCTGAGAGAAGTTGTCTTTTTTGCGATTTCTTTCCGCACATCCTGAGGTCAAATACAGCACCTGAGTGTGGTTCTCTTCAGCAGCTTCGCAGTGACAGCTCAGCCTGGGCTGAGGGACGTAAACCTGGGAACACCATGGCAGTGGCTTTGCTAGAACAGCCTTTGTTCCCGTAAGCATGACAGGGGTTGTGTCCAGCTGGGGTTTTACTCACCTCTCCTCTCCTGCCCTCCTTCCTCTGGACACACTGCTCGAATGACTTAACCCAGCCTATGCTGTTGGTGCCATTGGTGTAGGGAATGGTGTATATGTGGGAGTTTCATAATTTCTGACTCCATCCTCATGAGTCATTTGTATAGAAAACAAAATTAAATTAAAAATACATTTGCGATGTGCTTTCTTATTCTATAATATCTACTGTAAAGGAAGTCTTTGTATGACCAGCAGCTGTCCCCAAATGTACAATATGCACCAAGATGTCCACTTGTAATTGAAGGGAAAAAATCCAGAACTTTCCAAAGCACATCCTGGTGGCAGAGTGCTTCTGCTCGACTGTCTTCATGATCAGGTGTGATTTTATTTCTAGATAACTGGATTTTTGTGATCAAAAGCAATTTTCCTACAAAATAGAGTTGGTGAAATTCAGAGTGTGTAAGAACAAGAGAGGAGTGACACTTGTTAGAAGGCCGCGAGTGGATGACACTGTTAGAGGGGAAGGGGCCATGATTGAGACCCCAGTTCTTTTAGTCTCTTGTATAATTCTTACACACACACATACTTTACAGAGACTTCTTACTGTACCCGTTCAGACAAACAGCAAGGCAATCTGCGGCTAAATATTTACAACACATATGCATCCTTCACCCAGAATCATCAATTGTATTCTTGGAACTTTTATGTAGGTTTGAAAATTTTCCACATAAATGCTTGGGGAATAAAGTAAATATAGTAAGCAGTATAAAGTATTCTTTGTTCATTGAGATTTGAGTATACATTCAGAGTTTGCTTAATGTCAAATGTGGTGTAAATACACCTTGACACTTCATATAAAATGAAGCACGTTAGTATTTTACCTGTATTTCCAAAAGAACTGTTTCCAATAACTTAGAGCAAAATGCTTTTATGCAAGAATAAAACTTTGATATCAAAGGTGCACTTAAAAAGTTTGAATAAAATTGACTCATAGAGACTTTAAAAAGGCTTTTGCTATTAATAATAAATGAATGTTATGTTCAAAAGCTATGAGTATGGATTGAAAGTTTCATCTAGCTCATTCAACTTGGAAAATAATATATAAGTAAATACTTTATACATTTTCATGAAACTGTTTAAATAATGACTTGGTTAGTACATATTGGAGTATTAAAAACCCAGCTTAATTCATAAATCCTCTGTGAAGTGTTTGTTGACTCTTCTAGGTTGTTATCTTTCCACATCCTGGCTACAGAGAACATCATATAAGCTTATGTTTTATGCTTAATTTATGGAATGGCTCTGTTAAATCAATTTATGAATCCATTTATTGAAAATCTAATGATATTTTTAGGAGTTGAAATCACGTTTTCTGGGCCAATGTTCAATAAGAGTTTGAGTGAGTGACTGAATCAACCATTGGGTAGGTAGATAAAACAGAATTTTCAAAAAATCAAAACAAGAAGTTTAAAAGTATACAAACCACCCTTCCTCAATAAAGCATTTAAGTAGATACTCTCTTGCTTAGGAATGACTGAACACACATATACACAAATTTAGAAAATCTCGTTCCTCCACATGTTGATTATGACAAAGCCACATTTGCACGATATGTTTCCATGAAAATTCATTTTTCTGTAATGTCATGTGTGCGAAAGTAGCTAAATCAATAAGTAGAGTGTATCTTTGAAACAACTACTAGCAGATATGAAACAAACTCACATTGAGTGATTTACTACAGGGCTTTTAATTTACACAGTGAGAGAGAGTTGACTGTGCTCTGTAAGACTGTGATCTTTGCATCTGAAAATTGAAGTCTGCCAGTGTCTCAGGGAAGATAAATCTAAGGTGTTGGAGAGCCAGAAGTCGGAGCCCGCCAGAAAGAACTTCATTACCTCTGATTGAGTCTCTGCCACACCTTCTCAGTGGTGCTACACGCAAACACCTGACTCAGGAGCTGGAGATGCAGAAGAACTGGGGGGAGGGGAGGGCACAGCGTGCCCAGCACTGCCTCACATCAATGAGGTGAGTCAGAGATGAGCAATGAGCTTCAAATGTCTGCAGCCTTAACTTCCACCCTCCAGATTGCACTTGAGATTCCTCTTGTAGCTCATAGTCACAGGAAATGTGCAGGACAAAGCCACAAGTGGCCATCTGCTGTTATTGGCACCCACACACTTCATACATGCCTGATACTCCAAAACCATATTTAATCACCAGATAATGACAGTTTGTAAGGCGTGCTTCTATTTGACACGCTGCAACTATTAACTACCAGTAACATGAAGCCCTTCTTTCTAAGAGGGGAGCCAATGTTCCCTTTTAGCCCTTGGGGAATATTCATCGTGCTCCTATCCAGTTCACATGCCCCACTTTATTTATGTATAGTTTTTACATTTATTTTTGAGAGGCAGAGCTAGAGAGAGACAAGGAGATACAAAGACAAAGGGAGAGAAAGCAAGCTCCCATCTGGGGGTTTATTCCCCAAATTCTCCCAATGGCTGGGTCTGGGACAAGCTGAAACCAGGAACTGGGAAGTCAGTTCAGGCCTCCATGTGAATGGCAGGAATTCAGCAACTGTGCCTTCACTACTACCTAACAGGGTCTGCATAAGACTGCTTGACCATTAGCAATTTCATCAAGATGGACATCCTCTAAATGTGTGCAAGGTTTATTTCCTCTCTTCTAGAGTAGATGCTACCTCCACTCAGCAGGTTCAATCTGAACTGAATTGTGGCTTCAAGAATTCATATATTGAAGTCCTTATCCCTAGCGCCACTCAATGTGACTTTATGTGGAGATAAGACCTTTAAATAGGTGGTGATTAAGTTAAAAGGATGTTGTTAGGATGGGCCCTAAGCAATACGACTAATCATCCTATAGAAGCAGAAATTTGGAAGAAAACAGTTGTGAAGACGCAGAGAAAAGGGCCCTTGGAAGGAACTAAGTCTTCAGCACCTTGATCTTGGACTTCTGTCCAGTAAACTGTGAGAAACAAATTTCTGTTGGTGAAGTCGCCCAGTCTGTGCTACTTTGTTATCGCAGCCTACTGATACAGTCAGCCTGCTTTCATCAATGTAATACCCCGTTGTGATATCCAGAGAGGAAAAGCCATGGAAATTCTCTTGGGCTAGATTCTGGAGAGCTGATGACTCCCTGAAGGAAGATGGTGAAGGCCTATCGCAGGCTTTACCAGCTTAAAGCAAATATTTGCTTTCTTTTCACTAAAAGATATGAAGTTGCAGTCCTAAGTTAAGAACTTAAGTCTGGGGCTGGTATTTTGCCAGAAAGGGTAAAGCCACCACCTGTGATTCTGGCATCCCATCTGTGTGCCAATTCGGGTACCGGATGTTCTACTTCCAATCCAGCTCTCTGCTAATGGCCTGGGAAAAGCAGTGGCAGTTGGACCCCTGCCACCCACATGGGAGACCTGGATGAAGCTCCTGGCTCCTGGTTCCTGGCTTTGGCCTGGTCCAGCCCTGGCTGTTGAGGCCATCTAGGTAGTGAATCAACAGATGGAAGATATCTCTCTGTGTATCTCCCTCTCTCTGTAACTCCGACTTTCAAAGAAATAAATAAACCTTTTAAAAAAATAAGTCTTTGAGTTCTAACTTTAATATCCATATGGGATAATTTACCTTGAATGCATTTACAAGATCTCTGGAGAAGAGTGTATTAATTATTATTTACAGCAAACAAGTGTTTCAAGATTGCCCCATGCCCAGGTTCTTTTCCCTGGAGAAATGTGATGAAAGCCTGACGCCAGGCTGCACTTCCGGAGTTTGTGTTGTGAAAGAAAACATGCTTATGTGTCTGCTGTCTAGCTCCCCTCCTGAAAGACAGGAGAAAACCTGAGTTCTCACTCCCATCCCGAGAATGTGGCTCCCTCTCTCCAGGGGAAAGAATATCCCTATCTCTGGCTCTGCAACCCAGTCTTGTCTCAGCCAGGTCCCAGCATCCTCCCGGAGGCAAATCTCTGAAGGTCTTTATCATCACTCACAAATTTCCTTCCAAGTCTTGCTTTTTGTCCAAGTTCCCATTGTCAGTAAAACTTGTTCAGAAATTCCTCTCCGTGCAGAAGCATAGAGATCTTTCCTCTAAATCTCCACAAGGGGTCAGCAAACTTAATGTAGTCTTCGGGGGACCACATGTAGACTCTTTCACATTGTTTTGGTTTGTTTTCATTCTTGAAAAATGTAAAATCCCTTCTTAGTTCAAGACTTCTTAAAAAATTGCAGTCTGGATTCAGGCTGCATACTTGTCTGGCACAGAGATAAAAATTATTCACCTGATCAATAGCTACATACCAGATACAAGGGAATGTGTCAGTCATTTGATGGAGCAAAGAAATCACATCTGGAACAGCAGCTGCAATCGTAGTTACCACTTGATTAAATTTTTAGTAATCTGCTTTCATTCTCCAATGTCCATCTGTTTCCCACGCAGGAAAAATAGGCTAGTGGAATGGAATCACCACCTCTGCACCTTTCAAGTCCTTGTTGTTTTCAGTAATCCCTGCAGCCTCTCCAGGAGAATGGTGTTGCCTTTGGCTTGGTGCTCAGCAACAGAGGCAGTTCCAGCAGCTCTCGATTTGCTCTCCCTGACATAACCCTGACTTCATGGCTGTGTAACCTGGGGATTCTGCAAGCTGCTGAACACATTCCCTAATTACTTCTCTGATGCTAGGAAAGCAGTCAGAAAGTGTGCCCACTGGGAGATGGACTCAAGCCAGGGCTCCATGGATTATCTGACCTCTGTAAATTCCTGCTCTGACCAACGACCACAGGAAGTACTGGTAGTTTGGACAAACTTCTAGGAATCCTTATATCTGATTATTTTTCCTTACCCACAAATCCTTTTTGGGAGGGTCTGTTTTATAGTCTCCATTATTGTTGTTGTTCTTGGGTTATCACTTCAATTGTTGCTCCTATAGAATTTTCTTCATAGTGCTTTTTTGGTGATTTTAATGTTCTTTACTATTGGATTTTAATGTGTTTTATATTGGATAATTTCCCCCCTGTTGAATTTTGTGTACCTGGCTTGTAAAAGTATTTCTTTAAGGACATTTTTTAGGTTGAATTTTTACAAGGATCCGAGGAGTTCATGTATAGAGAATTGTTTTTAAATTAATTTCAAGGCTTATGATTCCCATACTCTGTCAATAGATATTCTTACTTGCAAACAGCTGAAAACGACTCTGTGCAATTTAAACAAAAATTAAACTGTTGATGGATATGGGGATGCTCATGGAATTGCAGGAAGAAATAGCTAACCAGCTTAGGTGTGGCAGTCACAGAGTCCAGTCAAGCTGCACGGTTGGTTCCATAAAGAATGCAGACAGCTGCACTCTAAACACTGACACCACTGATCCTTCACACTGGGGCTGTGGCTCGATGTCTGACCACTGATAGCCACTGAAAGTCTGCTGACATTGCTGCTACTGCATATCAGGCCAGAAGGGATTTCACACTACATCTGATTCTCTGACGAGATCTCCAGTCAAATGTGGGAGAAACACATGCATCTGGGAAAGCTGGGTCATATGGTCCCGTGTGTGTACCAGGGCAAGCATGAGGTGGCCTGAAAGTAGAATTTTACATGCTGTATGGAAAAGGATCACGCCTTCCCACTCAGACAACCATGGTCTGTAGATTCCAGAACAGGGCAATGGGATTCACATCCTGGGCAACCCAAGAAAATTAGTGTCCAGAACACACACTGTGACAGCTTACACTTTACCATCTTGTGTGGTTTCAGTTACCACGAGAGAGATTTTACCTGTCTCCCAGAGTCTGATAGAATATGTAGTTCAGCATGTAGGTGTTTGTAGGGGGAGGGACACATGAGTCCTTGGTTCTGGAAATTGGATGGAAGTCATCAGACTTATCTGGTGAGAGAGTCTAGGCTAAAGGGATGGCATTCAGAATTTGTGTCCTTTCCACTAGCAATGTAGAATAAAGAATTTTATCTTGGTTTTTATGTAACATTCAGCTGTACTCCTTTCTGACTTTTCTGTGGCTTTGGGGGGATTTTGTCCAAAATTTAATATAGCCCTGGGCTGCAGCCTTCTGACATTCACAAACTTGGCCAGTGCTGCTGAAAGTCTCTGGACAACAGTGATTGGCAGGTGGCCTCTGGGGCTGAGCTACTGAGCTGCACCACTTACTAGCTTTGTGATCCTGTACAAATTTCCTAATCTTATTTGGGGGGGGGGTCCTCATCAACATGTAGCTTTAGGATGCTTCGTCCACATACAACTAGAACCTACATCTTTAAAGGTATATTATCTGCAAGAGATGGGCATTGTGAGAACAAGTGAAAAGAGGTGGAATGAGCATGGCCATGTTACATCCTGCAACTCCACCTGGTACTGCTCTGTTGACCAAAATATGTTTCTGACAAACCAAGCCTGGATTGTAGATGAAGATGAATTAATTTATATTTTCAAGAACGGAGCTTGAATGATTGGAAATTCTTAACTTTTAATCAGACCCTTAGTCATTTGCAATTTAAGTTCTACACATCAAGGAGAGAGATTTGTAAAATCAAAGTGAGGTAGACAGTCTCCATTGTCAAAGGTCCCTTGTATTTTGAGCTGGGAAGCAAACTACCCTCATTCTCATCACTCAGGCACATCCATCCTAGGGTTTTAGTGTAATGTTGTTGACCTAAATACACATCCCAGGGCTCAAAGCTTTGTTTCTTTGGAGACAAATATAAAATTTCCAGTGATAGATTCATGGTAGTGATGATCACTTTTTTATTTTTATAAATGGTGGACGACTTCCATCCTTTGAGTACTGTTCTGAAGTAAAAATTTCATCTCTGTGTGTGTGCTTTAAATTTTTCCTTTTTAAAAATATTTATTTATTTGAAAGAGTTACAGAGAGGGAGAGAGAGATCTTTCATCCACTGATTCACTCCGCAGTGGCCACAACAGTGCTGGGCTAGGCCAAACCCGGAGCCAGCAGCTTCATCTGGGTCTTCCATGTGGATGGCAAGGGCCCATGCCCTTGGGCCATCCTCTGCTGCTGTTCACAGGCGATTAGCAGGAAACTGAATCAGAAGTGGAGCAGAGGAGTCTTGGTGCCCATATGGGTTGCTGGCATCTCAGGCAGTGACTTTACCTACTATGCCACAACACCGGCCCCTATAATTGTTTTTTATATTCCTGTGTAGTTAATACCTCTTTTGTGCATTTTGGTGTATAAGAGTTCAATCTGATACAGTGATTCAATTCTAGCATGTATTATGTATCTACCAAGTGAAGAAGTTTATACATTTCTTTTGTCCTTTCTTTTCTTTTCTTTTGACAGGCAGAGTGGACAATGAGAGAGAGAGACAGAGAGAAAGGTCTTCCTTCTGTTGGTTCAGCCCAGAGTGGCTGCTATGGCCGGCACACTGCGCAGATCCAAAGCCAGGAGCCAGGTGCTTCTCCTGGTCTCCCATGCAGGTGCAGGCCCCAAGCACTTGAGCCATCCTCCACTGCACTCCTGGGCCACAGCAGAGAGCTGGACTGGAAGAGGAGCAACTGGGACAGAATCTAGCACCCTGATCGGGACTAGAACCCGGTGTGCTGGCACCACAGGCGGAGGATTAGCTTAGTGAGCTGCGGCGCTGGCCAGAAGTTTACACATTTCTAACATAACTATTAACTTATCTTAATGCTAAAAATTGGAAAAGGTGAAATTATAGGAACTGGAATAATATATTTTGGAAGCTTCTGTCAGTAAAAGTAACAACAAAAGAACTCAATCTTTGGATTCCTATTAGATAGTGTCATATTAGTGAATGTGTCATATAATGAATCCTTGTTTGATTACTTCTGAGGTTTGTAACCCTGAGGGATTGCTTAACCTCTCTATTTCTTTGTTTCCTTGTCTGTAAAATGGAGGAAATTCGTACTATATTGATTGGAGGATTAAATGATACACTGTATTACTTCGTATCTAGCTGGCACATATTAAGGCAATGCATATTAGCTATTAGTATTAGCATCATTATCATTACATTTTCTACAATTGCACCATCCTCAACCTAGTCAGTTTCACCTTAAAAAATAATATATTTTTCCTGTTTTCCTAGAGAATATAAGGGAATTTATAAAGTGGTAATTTCATATACTGTAGTTTTATTTCCTGTCATTGATATTTAATACAAAATGTAACACAATTATTAATTTCAAATAATAATCCACTCATCTTTTTAGTAGTCTTAACTTCCTTCCTATATTTTAACCAGTTTACCTCATTTAGCTTCCCTTGTTTTATAATTAAGTTGTGCCTGAAAGTAGAATCAATACACTGCAAACAAAATTACTGCTTTTGTGTGTCAAATTCTATTGTTTGTTTTTATTAGACACTGTCAAGGAGGAAATAGTAATTAAAATTTAATACTGTATTTTTCCTAAATGGTGGGAAATTGTGAAATGATAAGTAGTATACTTTTCAAGTTAATATATTTCACTCTTAAAACCAGTATTGGGATGGTTTCATCATAGGGAAATTTCTGTTGATCGCATTTTCCACATTCCTAGGAGAAAGACAACAGCTGCTATGGATTGTCGTATGTGAAGAAATTGAATTTAAATAGTGTTCATTTCGTTTCTGGTCAATGCAGTTATTATATTTGCAGAGACCAAAAAAGCATCATGTTGTAAATGGAAGGACACACGGAACCAAGGGCCAAGTTACTTTAAAAAGACAGCAGCTTAAACTCTAATTCTGTTTCATTTGTACCTGTATCTTAATTGGCTCTCACTTGTCCAAGCATGGAGGAGACTTTAAAGGAGGTAAATATGTAACATTTCTCTTTTTCTCATTTATGATGAATGTGTTAGGCTTAGATAAATGTGGTGTTGCAAGCTCATCAGAAGGCTTGCTGGATTTGGGAAAAGCAAAGCAGAATGTCCAGATAATCTTAATTTCAGGTGACCAACAAATAATATTTCATTATCTTTCAGTCCATTTCTTGTTGCTGAAAACATCAGCACTGTCCAGAACGATGGGTACATCATCCCATCACTCTTTGTAAAATTTTGTTTTGTGTATACCCATACATAATACATATATGAGTAATATATTGCAATAACATATACATGGTTATATATATTCCTGTAACTATTCCATGTTTCTAAACTTTATATAATGATATGATACTCTATTAATTCTTCTGAAACCTGCCTTTTTCACTCAAAATTCTGTTTCTGAAAATCATTATCTTAGTTTTTTTTTCTCTTTATGTGAAAGCAGAGTGATATACAGGAGAGAGAGAAGACGAAGGTAAAGAAGAAGAGGAGGAGGGGAGGGGATGGAAGGGAAGAGAGATCTTTCAAATCTGCTATTTCACTTCCCAAATGCCTTCCACACCCAGGGCTGGGCCAAGCAGAAGCCAGAAACCCAGACCAATCCAAGTCTCCCATGTGAGAGACAAGGGTCTAAGCATTTGCGGCATCCCCTGCTGCCTCCCAGGGCCAGGAAGTGCATTAGTAAAATGCTGGATCAGAAGTGCAACGGAGACTCTCACCCAGAAACTACAGTATGAGATACAGGAGTCCCAAGTGGCATCTTAACCGCTGCATCCAATGAGCTTGCCCCACATTGTCTTAGTTTTGTTTCTCTCACAAGCAGACCTGGAAATGGAAATTTGAGTGAAAGCAGCTTATGTAGAACCTTCTGGGAACCCCCGGTAGCTAAATGTGGGAGTGATCCAAGCAGTCAGCCATCAATTACGGCTGCATGTTAAACCAGGAAGCACAGCGGGTGCTTGAGGCTTGGCTCTGCAGGGAAATGCTGGGAAATGTTGCAAAACACTTGCCTTGGAGGAAAGGAGCAGAGATAGCCATAGACTAAGTCCCAAGAGGAGCTGGGTAGGGCTCCTCAGAGAGCGGCTGTGAACTCCGGGAACTCCCGGCACCTCCAGCCTGGCAAGACTTCCTGCCTGCAGTTCTGGGGCCGGGGATGAGCCTGCTGCACGGAACAGAACACAAGGGCAGTTGGAAAGTGGCTGATGCACAGATTCCTGGAAGGCGGATAGAATCCTGGTGAAAGATTTTGAGGTCAAATGACGAAAGTTTACTTCTCAGAGAACCAAATGCCGTGACATTAAAAAGGATGAAGATTGGAAATTGGACTCCAGACTCCATTGCTTACTGGAAAAACTTTGACCCAACAATCTCTATGGTCCTCTTTCTCAAACGCAATATGGGCATATGCATTCCATTTATATATTGGGTTTTTATTATGAGTGCTAAACAGATTCAATCTTTAGCAGTGTTCTCTGCTTGCTGCTACAAAACCAGGTTTCCTTCCTTGCCACACTAAGCGGTTCTGTGACGTATATCAGAGCTGTAGCCAACAGGATGTGAAGGAAGTGACTTGTGGCATTCATACGCCTGAACCATATGACCCTCCCAGGCTGTGTGCCTATTCCAGCTGGCTGGAGGGTGCACCATCCCTAGGGAGGACTTGGAGATTAAAGACAGCAGAAGCATTTCACCCTGGGCTTAAAAATGCAGGAAAATAAACCACATTACTGACATTACCTCAAAAGCACTGGTAGCAAGCAAGAAATAAAAGACTATTTGCTTCTTTAATGCTTGGGGATTGTTAGAGTAGCTTGTATTAACCTAAATAAACCATTCTTTGTTATTTTCAAATTCATGACTGGAAGCAGGATTCTTACTCCAAACTGTAATAGAGTATCTTAAATGGTTAGCTTTTTAACTGAATTACAATGTAATAAATTACAAAAACTGCATATTGTATATCTACTTTCTGTTTACTTAAAATACATAAGGCTTTAAATAGATAACCAAAAGGTGTCAGCATTTAGTATAGGAACCAAACATAAAAAGAATACTTACAGATAAGGGCATGCAGTCCAGAATAAATACAAAATGTATGTCAGTCATTTTTTATGATCTGTTTTTCAGATCCAGAACTGCAGGATATTGTCTCAGAAAGCAGTGCTAGTCTGTTCTGGAACCTTCCTTCACCACCCTTGTCCTAAATCAGTCATGCAGTCCCGTGGCCTCACCCGTGACTGCGAGGACATGGATGTATTTTCAGCCTCCTGTCCCTCAAGGCGCTTGTGAGCGAGGTGGAGTCTAAGTTCTTATTCCAGGTCCCTGCCTGGTACCTGGAGAAGCAAAGTACAGGCACATACACAGTGCACAAGCTGATAAAATGTATTTAAAAGGTGAGAAACACACACACACACGCACGCACACACGCACGCAGGCAGGCATAGTTCAGGATTAGAGTGGGCCAGAATGGGACAAGGATGGGGGAGGAGAGTAGACAGATAGTAATGCCTGTGCACCCCTTTCCTTCTCGCCTGTGGAGGGAGGGGGAGAGGGGAGAGAGTGAGACCCTGCCAGTTACCTGCCTCTGATGAGGTTGGAAGAGGTGTGGTTACAAGATACCCCTCAGGTCCCAGGTGAAGGGAGATAGGTCCTGGGAAAGTGGTTATTTGACTGACAGGTAGGCAGATAGGATTGCACAGGGCAGGGGAGGTGTGGCTTCCAGCTCCCAGCCCTAGTCTAGCTGCAGACTCAGCGCTGACCCTCAGAACAAAAAGCACACAGGAAGCTGCTCCACTGCTCTCCGCTATATGTTGTGGGGTAACCGAGACTCTGGCTTCTTTCTCGTGAGTGTGAGACACCGAGCAGAGATCCAAGCGGAGAGTCTGGAAAATGAGGAAAATCCAGGGTCTTGGTGATGGATCTAAACTCAAGTTGTTGCTTCATAGAACCTGGAACTGTACTCCTCAAGGCTTCTGGTTCTATGATTGAACCTGTTTTTCTCACTGTTTAACACAGCACCGGGTCTGGTTTTCTGTTACTATTATCTGTGCGCATCTTAAATCCTCCAGTATCTTCCACAGATTTAAGAAAAACATTCAGGAGCAAATAAAATCCAGATAACTTTCTTGAAATTTTCCAAGCTGCTTCTGATTTATTCTGTTTTTACTAATAATTGTATTTAAATACAGAGAGACAAAAATATAAAACATGGCATATTTAGGAAAATAATACATTCAGATTCTTATTCTTTCCTTTTTAAAAATTTATTTTATTTATTTTAAATGGGGATAGAGAGAGAGACTCTTCCAACTACTGGTTCATTCCACAAATGGCCACAATGGCCCAAGCACCTGGGCCATCCTCCTCTGCTTTCCCAGGCCCTTAGCAAAGAGCTGGGTTGGAAGTGGAGCAGCCAAGTCTCCAACAGGTGCCCTTATGGGATGATGGCACTGTGAGCAACAGCTTAACCCACTGTGCCACAGTCCTGGCCCC